GTGATCTCTTTTTTCCGGGAGAAGCTAAAGGCTGTGTGGAGGTTGCATTTTGCCTGTCTTTATCTTCTTTTCTAATTTTACTTATAGTTCGTTCACTAACACCCGTATAATATGCCGCCCTTGCATTTCTAGCTACCAGTGGATAAACGAAAGTATTGTTAGCCGCTTCTGCATCGCAAGCACGTATCACGTTTGCTATTATTTCCCTTGCCTGGCTGTGAATAACTTTCCCATGCTTGAATTCCATTATCACCACTAAACAGTAAATTATATTTTCAAAGTATTTGCCAACTGCCTACGCCTATGGGAGTAGGTTTATAAATGACCGTGCCATCGGCACGTTATTCTAGTTTCAGATAAGATAAGAGTTTTGGACCAATCAGCGACCGGATGTTTACCTGCGGCCTGGGTTTTCCAGCTACATTGCCAAATTCAGCGGAACAATTCTATATCTTAAATATGTTAATATGTATGGACCGCATTTTATGTAGAACATCTGACAACTTCGCAATTTTTTGTCCGCATTCTTTCGGCTTGCAATCTTTCGCTGGTCCAACAGTATTTGTCAATCAATATTATCAAAAGTGCTTTTTGTATGCAATCTGCCACCGAAACGGAGAATTCAACACAAGATTCACTATTACTAGTCATTCGAAATGTTGCTCCTTTAAACCGTAGAATTAAGGCTCCATGGACTTCATTCAATCAGACTGTGACTTATTTAATTAATTGAAATTGATGAAGAAAAAAATCCGTTAAACTCTTCTTTACGCATCAAGTTATCAAATGGGAGCTCTCACGATCAGGATAGCATAAGCTGTCAGGGATGTCCGATCGCAAAATGCACCAGAACTTTTGGGGAAAACACATATCCGATGATCCTCTCCCACTTATGTGCTCCTGCTACCTAGACCGCCAATTTCGCGCCCAAACATCTAGTTGGCGATATATCCCTACAGCGATGCCAAGCTTAAGCGGCTACCCAACATGTCTATTATCTGTGCCTATATCAACTTTCACTCTCTCACTATCGTTTATTTATTTTAGGAATAGAAGGGCAGGTCTGAAGCATTGTCCTGCATCAACAAATTACTGCCTAAATGTTTAATTACAATGTTAAGCTGAGAAACCTACATTTCTATTATGATTTATGTGGAAAGTTGTGTAGAGAGTTTTCCACAACAGATGGAAATTTATCAAAGATCGACAACATTGTTGTTATGTCCTGTACATACATTATCCAAGGCTAAAGTGCAGTTTCCATTAGAATAAGTGAATAGCTTTGAAGGAAAGAAGAGGGGGAATACATAGTTCCGCTGTGATCTGTAATTTATTAACAATATCACTGATGTTCGTATAAATTAGATTATTGAAGTTGTTTTATATATTTGTATCGCTTAGTAGGACCGTTAGGCAACCGCTTATACAGTAAAGGCTATCAGGAGAAAATTTGAAGAGGTGAGGCGTGCTAGTAGAGTAAGATTGCAGAAGGTGCAGATCCGTAATGCAATTTGTTCTGCATACGAGGTTAAAGAATATATCACCAGGGGAAGACATGCAGTTCAGGTTTCGGAATTTGTCTGGAGGAAGTGTAAAAGGAGGGGTTATGGTGTTTCATTGTGAGGATTTTTTGTTAGTAAAAGCAATTATATTCGTTGCACAAAATATAACAACAATAATATATACTGATAATAGCCTTTATTTAACTAGCTAAAATCTGCTTTTGATACCAACCAGGACCAACAAAATTGCAATACAAAGTTTATTCATTTGGGCAAAAACTTTAAGCAATGCGAATAATGTATTCAGAATGTTTCACCATGACTACCTAGGGGGACGGTAGGTATCACCTCTGTTTCGTATCTTTCAGGCTTTCTAATAAAAAGATTTTTCAGACATGTTTCAAAACTGGAATTATTTGTTGTGAAAATTGCTAACAGTTTGACCAGGATCTCGAGTGAGGTATGGGTTAAAGTTATCCCCTCAAACCCCGCACTACTCGTATAACACACATCCTTGTAATTCCTGTAACTTTCAAATTATTGCTAAAATCACCGACGATATATAAGTCGGTGGCTAAAATACACTAGCCATCTTCGCGTTTCTTCTGCTTGTTCTTCGGTATACCTGTCTTTTTCTTCTTCAGTCCAACGATCTTCGTTGCCAGGAAAGCAACATGCCGAGGAGGTCGATACCGGCACGGCCTAACTGACGACAGTACTGCTTAGTCGATATGGGCGCAAATCTTTAGCAGTGCCGTTTAAATGAAGTTTTTGGTTAAAGGTGTTGGAGCCATATAGGTATATAGCTATTTGGTCATTCTTCTCTCGGTTGTCTAAGTTCCTAGAACACCACAAACTGGGGGATGCACTCCTTATAGGTGTGGCAAGCCAAGTAATTGAGCACCTAGTCATCAGTAAATAAACACCTAATTATTTTTCAAATTATGGTATACAGACAAATTTTTTTCATTTTCCATTCTCATTTTGTTCTCTAAATGTTGTTTAAATATCTACGTATAATTAACTTGCTGTCTTGCAGACTAGATGATGGACATCTCAAAATGTTACCGTTATTAACAAATATTTGTGACAAGCATGTTGTACAAATAATCCGTTCACCATGAACTTTCGGTCAGTGACAATATTCTTTTTTTCTGTTGTCTGATTTCGAATTTTTTTTTGTTTATTGTCATTTTCTTCCTTATTATCCTTTTTCTGATTTTAATAATGTTAGATATCATCTAATAATATATAACGATGTTTTTTATTCTTGATTTAAAATAACAAATTTTCTGTATAATCGTCTCAAAATATCAAAATACAGGTTGATCAAATATCTACTGGTTCGCAAATCTGCTACTGGTTGCATCAGTATTTGACCCTCTGTTCGTCCACTGGAAATGGAGAAAAAATGATTTCTCCATTAAATGAACTGGTGTTCACCTAAGGTCCCTGAAGGTAGCTTCAGATGCAGATTTTAAAATCGGATATTCACCTACTGACCTACTAGAGAACCACACTTCACTGGTTCCAGGGTTCTAGTGTCGGAACACCAGATTTTGTCATTGAAATGAGATGATTGAAACTCGTGATAATATCCATAGTGGATATGTTAATCAATGCTGAAGGTAGCCCAAAGTACCCTAAAAAGCATTAGAAGTTTAATTTCAAGCGATTTTTATGGAAGTGTATATGTGCCCACTGAGGTGAATCAAGTAAAAGTGATTAGAGGTAGTGTAGATGATAATCTGTGATTAGAGGCCTAAAAATACGATTTAATACAATGGAGAAATCAACGCTGTGATAAGGCGCAGCCATGTTAAAATTGTAAATTGTCGCGTCACACATCATACATACACTGAGAACCAAATTTGTCTGACGACTTGAGTTCAATGTATACGAGAGAGAGTTGTGTATAGACACAGATGTTAGAAAAAGAGATAGGAACCGGCTCGATAGCGAAGCTCATCGCCGCGTTGCTTATCAATGCTAACGCGTCGCCGATATGTTATACCATTTCCTTGAATTAAGATGCATGCTGAAAATATGTCAGTCTTTGCGGCATGGTATTTGTTAAATTTTCCACCGCTCGATGTCACAAAATGTAACTATAACTCAAGATTTTAACACCATCTGTGGAAGTCAGAAATAATTCTATCTATAGGTATTAAATTAAAATACTAAGTCGCATCAAAATTGAAATAAATAATTCTGATCACAATGAAAACAAAATATTAAATTAAATGTTGGAACAACCTCCTTCTTGGGTTTGACACTATCCTAACCTATTTTAGAAGCCTGTGCGAACATTTTCTGGTGTGACATATATTGTCTTTTCACGAGTATCCAATACGGTAGAGCTGATTATTTAGTGTTATTTTAAAATTCACCATATCGACAAATGACACATAAATCTGACGGAGAAGACAGAGCCATGTATTGTTTTGGTTTTTTATACGCTACAGATTCATTGCATCTGTTAACAGCTCTTTTGTTTAGAAAAAAAACACCTGCATACAAAAAAAGACGCTACAAGCCAGTTTTACTAGTTTGGCACCCGATTCATTATTGCCAACGATTACAGACTAATAGAAAGACGACGTTACTGGATAAGCTGTTTACCCTCAGTAGATGTATGGTAGATGTCAAAACGTGATGGATACTCGTACTCATGAAATAGGGTTTATTGGCAACGCGGCAGATTGCCCGACCTTTTGCGTCACCAGTGCTAAGCTAGGTATCTTCTCTCTTCAACCGGCTTCTATCTCTTTCTAACATGTGTTGATACACACTTAAATATTTGTTAAGATATTAATTTTTTTTAAATGTATCAGCTTGTATCTTGAAACCTCTGCATTTTCAGAGCCATGTTTATAGAAATTTTTTCATATTTCTCAACAAGGTATATCACTAAAGCAGGAAGCGAAAGCGGGATCTGCGATATGCTATGTATAGCGTTTAAAAGATTGCATTATAGTAGTAAAAATGATATCTGATTGATGTCAATGTTTTTTATTGGCGGAATGTTTTTCTATGTGTGCATACGTAAATTCGTATTTTGATCACAGAAAAGTTCTTCGATACGGTTCTAGTTCTAGTTCTACTAGATAACTAGATGTTCTGAGTTCTGACATCTAGCGAGTGACTGTACAATCTGTATCTGTATATTCAATTCTCAATTGTTTTATGTTTAGCAAGTTGGTTGGATGAGGCGCTGCCTTATATCGGGATATGCAGCATTGCCAAATGGTCAATTTTTCAACATTTTCAAGAAATTATTGATTCTGAAATTTAAAACTTGCCTACCTATGTACCTCATTGGGTCAGCAACACAATAACACATATTACTATGATCGGCAGGACTATTACGTAAAAAAACCTAAAAACCGTTAAAAAAAAAAACGAAATGTCAATTTGCTGCCTAGCCAGTTTCTAGTGTTCAATTAGTACATTCCGTTTGCTCGATATGTGCGTCCATCTATGGAGGAATGACTCAACGACACAACACTCTTAGCCCGCTTTTATGCACGCGTTTTTTGTCGCCTGTCGAGTGGCGACAAAAAACGCGTCGTTTTCTCAACGCATTGTCTTGTATGTAGCCATTTATGCATCAACGACGGTGAGCCGCTCGATGCCCGTGTCGCGGCGTTCTCAAATTTGGTCGCCTGGAATTTGAGAACGCGTGGCGACAGGCGTTTTGTAAGTACGTTGAATGGAATTTACGCTTTTATTCAACGCGTTTATTGTCGCTGATGCTATGATAGGAACTCATTCTCAGTTGGTGGGTGTTGTCTAAAGACTGAAGACGTGTGCTACAATGGAACATCTGGATGTCGAACTATTCATCGACGCAATAGAAAAACGACCATCTTTGTGGGATTCATCGTCAGGAGACTACAAAAACAGACAGCTTAAAAGAGACGATTGGAAGGAAGTGTGCGAAATTGTTATCCAAAAATTTGGGGAAAAAGATGAAAAAGAAAGGCAGGAAATTGGTAAGCATTTCATGTTAATTACTTTAATACATACACTTACTATTTTGTTTAAATCATATGTTGGTGTTTTGCCATGGCACAGCCCCTGCTGGACTGCTAAAATAGTCAGCGAAAGCATCTCTGTATTTGTAAGCAGACTTACGTCCACGTCCTTCTGGTTCTGCTCTATCATTATCATGCAGCCCTGTTATTGTCAAAGTATCCTCAAATCTGATGCCATCCCTCACACGAACAAAATTGTGTAATATACAGCAAACTTAGATGATGGATACAGCGACTTCCTCCATCACATTCATCGGTCGATGCAGTATACGCCATTTGTTAGTTAAAATTCCAAAGGAGCATTCTACTTTCCCTCTTGCTCTAGACAAGCGATAATTAAAATTTCTTCTTTTTTCTGTTAAGTTCTTTGCAGGATAAGGTCGCATTAAGTTATTTATTAGTCCAAACGCCTCATCCCCAACGAGTACATATGGCAGTGTTGTTTCTGCTACTTTCTCAGGTTTTGGGATATGTAAGGTATCTTCTTCCAATTTTCTAAACAAGGAGCATTGTCTAAACACCATGGAGTCCGATTCCTTACCATAGGACCCGACATCGATGTATATAAAACAACAGTTGCTGTCGGCAATAGCTAATAGAACAATGGAAAAAAAGTTCTTGTAATTATAATTCAGTGATCCGCTATGTGCAGGCGCGATTATCCTGCAATGTTTACCATCAATAGAGCCAATGCAGTTAGGAAAATTGGTACGTTCTGCAAAATCTTGGGCAATTTGGCGCCAACGTTGTTCAGTAGGTACAGGAAAGCACTCTTCCTGTAATGTACGCCATAGGGCAACGCAAACTCTTGGAATTAGAAGACTTGCCGTTGTGACCCCTAATCTGTAGCTGTAGTGCAGCTCTGTATAGGTACATCCTGAACCTAAATACCTGTAAAACAAAACTGCCATTTAGTATAACGATACAGTTACTTATAATAGTAATATCATGGCCAATCGCCTATGTTTCGGGGTTTCGGCTTAGTTAAATGCAAAGAATACGAATAATTGGCAACAAATTTTAGGTCTCTCATTATTTGTAGTGCATCTAAAACCTTTACTTTATATTATTGGGATGTACGACATATACATAGATGTCAAGGCTCGTATGAGAAACACATTTTTTTAAAAAAAATTTACATTTAGGTATCTAACATGTTATCTGTTTTTCCTTTTTAGGTAGAGAAGTTCAACTTAAATGGAAAAGTCTGAGGGATGCTTATGTTCGTACCATTCGACAGTCTAAGGGAAAAAAATCAGGAGCGTCTGCTAAAGCTTCTTCAAAGGACATAAATGACATGCAAAGTACTTCATCAGATGTCCAACATACTCAGTTCGACAGCCAAATGGAAACTGGACGAACTCCTAGTAGAAGTACTCTCTATAGAAGAAAGAAATCAGATTTAGAAAGTAAACTTGCAAGCTATATTGATTCCCATAACAGACAGCCAGCATTAGCTATACAAAGTCAACCACAAGAAACTGATGACATGGCCTTTTTTAGATCATTACAAGCAAGTTTAGATACGCTCACTCCGAATGAGAAATTGAATTTTCGAATAGAGGTCATGCAATTATTAAGCCGATATACTAACAAACAACCAAATCAGTATATACACAATTTTCCAAATCATATACCCCATTACCAACCACAGCAATATCCAGTAATGACCAACATCTCTAATATACGTTTTAATACGCCAGCACCTCCATTCGCATCATATTCTACAGTATCATCTGAGATCACACCTCATTTGCCTCATCCTAATACTGATACTACTGAATCACTTGCTGTGACGTCACCACAAACGCCATTTTCTCCGACGGAATCGGAAAATTCAATAATTTCACAAGCCGAATCACTAATATCACTGTTATCAAATCAATAATATGTATGAACTGTTTTGTTATAGTGTTTGATGTTTTACTCTTATTTCCTGAATAAATGGTTTATTTCTTCAACTTTCTCATAAACTTACCTCAACGTCATTGATAACATTTCTTCTGCTTCGAATGCAAATCCTTGAATCAGCTCCCTATCTTTATTGAAAGTGTTTTTTAACTTTTCACATAGCTCATCAAAGGAAGCTATCGACATACGGTAATAATTAAAGAATTTGTCATTGTCTCGTCTTAGTTCTTTGTGTAGTGTATAATATGTGCCTCTGAGATTTCTTGCACTATTTATTGGGTGAACGCTCCAACGTCTCTTGCGTCTCTTTTTGATTATATATTTGTATGCCAAGTATACAACACACGGATCCATTATTTATCAATGCACCACACTTCCTTGTTTAGACGATACGATGGCCACTGATCTATCTGAAAGCGACACGCCACAAACAACGTTAGACAAAAGTTCCATTTTGTTTCATCTATAAACGCCGCGTTTTTTGTCGCCACGCGACAGGCGACAAAAAACGCGTGCATAAAAGCGGGCTAAGGCCCGTATCGTCAGTCGTCCCTACAATTGTAGGGCGCGTTTATGGCCTCCTTGATTTTCATACTTCTTTCTCTCCTTCAAAAATTTCTAGATTACGCTTGTCCCGTGTCAGCGTCAGCGCTCTCCTATTCTGAAGATATGTTTTCTTTTTAATTTGTAGAAAATTTCAGGCTGATAAAACATGATATAACTCAAAAGCAAGCACAATTTGATGCAAATAGATATTTGTGACATAACCTCAAAATAGAGTTCTGACACGAAGAAGTAGACAACTATGACAATCAAGGAGGCCATAAAGGCGCACTACAATTGTAGGGACGACTGACGATGCGGGCCTTAGGCTGACTTTGCTTTCCAACGAAATATATCTATTGGGTGGGCAAGATGGGATATTTGTGTTGTCCTTTCTTAAGAGAGGTTATGATAAAAGGTAGACGATTTTTCTCGTTTTCAAATCAGCACCGCACCCGCGTTGTGTGTAATTAATTCATATCACAGAAAAATTATTAATGACCCATCACATACAAAACATTTTCGCACTGCTTCACATCTAGGTGCTGATTTGTATTTTCTACTTGACATTGTAAGATAATATTTCTGTAAAACTCAAATGACTAGAAATAAAAGTTAATGTGAAATGTAATAACTTTTTTACGTTCATAAATATTCCTGTATGTACCATATTTTCTTACCTGTTAGTTTTAATATATTTTACCAACCTGGAATTTTCTTTTCCAGGTTGAATAAGAAAAAACGGATGCTCAACTAATTCTTAGCTTTGTAGGTATTCATCTCAAGTAAGTGTTTTTGAGACAAAAAACTAGTGAATTTATGATCAACACGTATTATTAGCACATAAATTCTCACTATGCACCTGTGCACTGCCGTTTCCTTCTAACTATAGTATACAACTTACCGCCTAGACCTCCAATAATGCCGTCTCTAAAGTAGATGTTACATCACATCAGAACCAAACATTGATAGCAGAAGCATCATGACGTTCAGGCAACACAAACAGCTGCGGAACTAGTACACAACAAGTGTATAACAGCTAGTGCGAAATTGACATTTGTAGAAAAACCTACATAATGTCATTTTTCATTATACGTAATAACCCTGCGTAAGATTATTGAGTGGTTTGGTAGTCAACGTTGTATCGTTCCTGTGCATTTCCTGTGTTATAGTTAATTACCAAAATCGTGAAAAGACCAACATTTTTTTGGTCGGCTTGTAGGGTTGTAGGAGAAAGTAAATTGTTGCGAATGTAGAAAAAAACATGCACAGATAAAGCACAAACTACTTCCGCTTCTCTTGAAATTTGCTTTATTTTGCTTCAGGAGTATACTCTCTGTCCTGTCAGAATAATCTTGCTGGGGAATACAGAATTGAAAACTTGACAACATTGGCAAAATTGAGTAGTTCAAGATGGCGTTGCGTAGTTGTGTTCAAGTTATGTGATGAAAAACTTTTATGAAGAAAACACTTTTTAAACATTATTCGTTTTAAAAATGGATTTGCGTTAATAAAAGTAGTGTTGGTTTCCAACGTAATTTTACCAAAATGACCCGAAGCTGTTGCAGCTTCAAGTTGAATGTGATAATATTAATTACTGCAGCTTCTGTTTTGACATTTATACATGGTATGTCTGCATGATGGTTTTTTAAATCTTGTTCTCTTGGCATCCTCATGCATTTTCCACAAATGGAAAAACAGGATGTCTTCTTATACTGGCAAATACTCTAAGTTTGCATACCCAGACTTTCACCGTCCTCAGAGTATCGTGATATATGACAATTATTATGATCAACATTGTGATATGATTTTTTTTGTTTTGTATTGATATTTTACATTCCAATATAAATTGTAGTGGCTTATGAAAATTCAGATAAATGAAAAATTATCGTTCAGATTATTAAATCCATTGTTTTCCATTGTCTAAATCTGAAACATATTCCTATCAACATGAGAAATGGTCATTGCTTATTCCTATTCTTTTATGAGTAGTTTTCCTTTTCCAGCCTCCTCCAATTGAATTTAGTATGTCACTTTGACAACAGTTTACAAGATGTTACAGAATATTTGAAAAATAACAGTTGCCTTTATCAAAATACACAGCATTCTTGCAGTTAATGATTTACTATTTAACCTAAATCATTTCAGATAAATTTCATGTATAAATCCTAGCTAAATTGCTCACTTTTCAACCTAGGTGTGTAACATACTAATATTTGCTTTGTGATTCTATTACAAATTGGTCTTTATGGAAATTGTTTTGATTCTTATAACAGCATAAAAAGTTTAATATAACTTTCAGTAATGTTGATAAAAGTGAGTTATGTGATTTGTATATAGTTGACACTTTGTCCTTACATCCAAGGTGTAGCAATTTTATGCTGAATAGCAGTTGCCATTGGTTAGCTTTGTCAGTTTGACAGCAGTTTTCACTTGGCTGATCTGATACTATTCGTCATTATTCGTCAGAGTGGTCCGGTGGACCTTTGCTCTTAGTTAAAAGTCTCGTCGTCTGGGCTGATCTGATGTTCATTTATTGTTGCATAAAGGGGCATCCAGGTACGTTCATGGCATGCCCTACTCTTCACTTGTCACATGGGAATGCACTCTCAGAAGGATTGATGCACAACCATTGTGTGTCTGCACTTGCCCTTTAGCAGATTCCTAAATCAGCAAGTCAGTCGTCCCTACAATTGTAGGGCGCGTTTATGGCCTCCTTGATTGTCATACTCCTTTCTCTCCTTCAAAAATTTCTAGATTACATTTGTCCCGTGTTAGCGTCAGCGCTCTCCTATTGTGAAGATATGTTTTCTTTTTAAATTGTAGGAAATTTCAGGCTGATAAAACATGATATAACTCAAAAGCAAGCACAATTTGATGCAAATAGATGTTTGTGACATAACCTCAAAATAGAGCGCTGACATGGAGAAGTAGAAAACTATGACAATCAAGGAGGCCTTAAAGGTGCCCTACAATTGTAGGGACGACTGACGATATGGGCCTAAGGCTGGATCTGTTCTTGAGTTGAGAACTGTTGTAGCTATTCCACCACTACTGCTACTCAGCAGCATAAACTTATAAACTGCTTAATGTTGGCTGAATGCACTAATTCATTTTGTAATGATTGAATAAGTTACTAATCATATTGATTAAAATTTCAAAACAAATTTGACAGAATAAATTGTACTTTTATAACTGAATTTTATTATAGGGCATGTGTTAGAGTTTGTTGTGGAGCCATCAGATACAGTTGTAGAATCTGGCCAGTCTGCTGTTCTAGACTGTGTTGCCAAAGCATCAAGACACCAGGCTACTGTACTTATACAGTGGCTTGATGAAGATGGTTCAAAACTCACTTTTGTAGGTGACCTTTATAGGTAAGTTATTTTTGTCACATCTATAATTTTGTTAAGTTTCAATTTTACTATGGAAGTAAAATATATTAGGGACTATGTAAAATATAAGCTTTTGTTTTTTCCAGATCTCAATTGACTAATGGTTCATTGTACATAACTAGTGTTATTGAAGAGCAGAGACTGACTGGCACATACCAGTGTATGGCTACCTTACCAAATGTTGGTTCAATAGTCAGTAGGACTGCCAAATTGAAGGTTGCTAGTGAGTATAATAATTTTTTGAATCATTTTGGTAATTGGACTGACATTAGGTTTTATGTTGATTTGCTACAGTCGTGTCAAAGTTATCATATTCTTATATAATAATAATAATAATAAATGTTTTTAATTCCCCATGGATTCACATCAAATAAAGTTTAACATGTACAGGAGAAGTTCAGCTGCAGCTGCTCTTCTACTTGATATGCTACTTTTATCAATTTAAATCATTCTTTAAATTTAATTTTTACAATTGATACAAAAATTGTTTCTATATTTAAACTGCTCTTGAAGGTCAAATACATGTATGGATGTATACTAAAAACATTAATTTTATTATAAATACTGTTGCTGTATCATGTTCATGGGATATCTCTTGCAGTAAAGGAAATATGTTTAATTTATGGTTTTGTGGAATGTAGCAAACAAAATAATTGCTAAGCGTTTAGTAATTGCATTATGTAAGTACCATGATTAGCAGCATGTTATTTTTCATACATCTACTTATTGTGAATCACTTAAGAAATGTTTACTCATCAACTATTGAGTCACATGGGGTAGTGATACAAGAATTTTTTTTATTAGTTGGTATCAACAATGACAAATCAATTTCTAAGGTAAAACTTTATATATAAGCTGTTCCAGCTTTTTAAAATAAAAACTAAACTGCTATTTATTCAGTATGACAAAAGTTAGAATAAGTTGTTTTTTATTTAATAAATTCTGAGAGAAATTATAATTGTCTTAGCTCTCAAAAAATTTGTAATTCCTATCATTTGGTTATTCTGCCTAGAAATTTTTTGACTGTTTTTAAAATAGTTTTTTCATGGACATGTTTTATTATATTATTATTATTATACAGGGTGTTTCAAATTTGTGGGATCTCGGAAACTGTAAGACATAGGAAGTCTCTTAAATGAGGGCAAAGTTGTGAATTTAGGTAATCAACAAAATGCAGCTTAGGAAGCTTCGAAATTCAGAATACTTCTGGAGAGAGACAGAAAAATCCGATTTTGCCAAAATCGTTTTAATTTTTTTCCTGACTTCATTTGTAGTGGGTTTCCAAAATAACTTAACGTTGCCACTTTTTCTCCTCTAAAAGATGGCATAATTAGAATTTTGCTATGACGTATCGTTTCATGTCCTCCAGCATCAACTTTGTTTTTTCTTATGGTCACCATATTGGATTTTTGCACAGATGAATAAAGCTTTTAATTCTGATTTCTAAAATGTACAATACGTCTTACATTGAAATTGCCGAACCCTAGTTATTTCAAAAAAGCAGAATTTTCTAGGTAGGCCTTTATTAGATAGTCATTTGTTTCCCATAGCAGATTTATCCCAAAATCGCTTCTATTTTTCCCTGACCTTATTTGAGATGGGATTTTAAAATAAATCATTATTACTTATTCTCCTCCACAATATGGCATAGCCAAATTTTCAATTTGACGTTTTTTCTTTCAACTTCCTTCACCATCTTTCTATTTTCACATGTACGAGCCCCTTCCCACTTCAGTTGGCCCACTTCAAGATTTGTACTAAAATATGCCTTTATAAACTAAACATGACGAGACTATTTACTTCTAAAACAATTTATTTTCTCAAAAACATTTTAGATACACTCTAGTCGTAAAAAATACACATTTGAAATCACTTAGACCTATAACTAATAGAACATCTGAACAAATAAACAATGTGCGAATAAATGCGCGAAGTTAACAAAACAACAAATGCGCGAAGTTAACAAAGCAACAATTGAAAGATTACCATTGGGTAACATCACCTTTATTTTTTATTATGGCTGAAATTCTTTGGGGCATAGTGTTAACCAAGTTTTGGCAAACATTTGGTGTAAATAATCCCATATTTCTTGAAGCTTTTGACTTAGGTCGGTGATTGTACGAGCAGGATGTTGTCGTAGAAGCTTTTTCATCTCGTGCTACAAAGTTTCAATATTTGACAGATCTGGACTGCTAGAAACCCATTTCAAAAGTGGTACATTATTTTCTCCCATCCATTTTATAGCCTTTTTTGAGGTATGGCACGCTGCACCATCTTGCTGAAACACAAAATCTTGGCCGGATGTCAAACATTCTTCCATCACTGGTAAAAGCGATTCTTCTAAAATTGCCAAATATTTGTTTGTAACCACATTTCCATCAATAAAATGAAGTTTTCCTACTCCTTTTGATGACATACTGCCCCAGACCATAATGGATGCTGGAAATTTCACTTTTCTCTTCAGACAGTCAACATGGAATGCTTCATTTTTTTTACGAATAACTCTACTGCGACTGTCACCAACACAAACTTCGAATCGTGCCTCATCATTCCATTGTATTGCACACCATTGTTGAGGTGTCCATTGTCTATGTTCTTTAGCCCATCTAAGCCGATTTTTCTTTTGCAGTGGAGTTAATAGTGGCGTTTCTTTGGCCTATAAACAAGTTGTGCAACTTTAGGGTTTTTACTTCACTTTTTTTTTTATAAAAAAACTTACCTTGCAAGTGCTAAATCCCAGTTTGTGGGGGGAGCCTATGAGTTTTGGAAATTCTCCTTCCAACAGCGTCACTCCACGGAGCACTTAATTTTAAATAATTGGCACGTCTGTTTTTCACGATTATTCTTCGGTCGGCATTTGTGATATTACTTTTTTTCACATATCGTGGCTTAATGTTAACTGAACCAGTTACGTTATATCTTCTAACAATATTTCTCACACTGTACCGCGATAAGTCTAACAAAGTTGCAATTTATGAGTTTGATTTCCCAGAATTAAAAAATTTAATTATCAGTAACCGAATTTTCTCACTAATAACCTTTCCTCTACCCATTTTGAAAACCTTAACTACCCAAAACTATTTTAAACGTATTCTGACAGCTGTGATTAATAAAAACAATTGTCATGGCTTTTATTTTTCACAGCCACCTATGCGTTATAGACTTATTTTGCATTTAAAGGAAAATAGGTTGATATGCTGTAATTGCAACATGTGTTATTTTTATGCTGCAAATTTGATTAGGGAATGATAAAGTTGGTGTTTTCTACTACATATATATTATCAAAATATTCACTATTAATATTTTAAACCTATAACACCCTGCTACATTTTTATTATTTGTGTTTGATAAGAAAAAAACTAAGATTTCAATTGTTGGGCCAACTGAAGTGGGAAGGGGCTCGTACGCTACATTGGAATTTTGTACATTTAAATTGACTTTTTAATCCTAAATTCAGTGATGTACGAGTATATCTTTAGTTGGCCATGAGTTTGTTGTTCGATGAAAGCTATAAGGAAATAAAAAGGTATGGTGAAACTTAAACATAAATTGATAATTTTATTGATGGTAATAACGATAAATAGGAGGTAAACCATAGCAGATGTTAAAAATTTGTCCATTAGCCTGACTATTCTCTGTACATTAGTTACTGCTCAATTTATTTCTCTGCTTCTCAGTCTTGCATACTCTGCTGCAATATTTAATTTGAAATACAAAACAAATGAAATCTGATAATTTCAAGGCATACCTAGGTTATTTTGCTTTTTCAAATAACTAGGGTTTGAAAACATCAATGTATGACGTATTATACATTTTTGGAATCATAATCAAAAACTCTATTCATCTCTGCAAAAATCCAATATGGCGTCTATAAGAAAAAATAAAGTTGATGCTGGAGGACAAGAAATGAAACATGATATTGAAACTCAAATTATGCCTTCTTGTAGAGGAGAAAAAGGGGCAATATTAATGTGCAATTTAATTTAAAATTCCGCTACAAATAAAGTCTGGAAAAAATTGAAACAATTTTAGGAAAATTCGGGTTTTTCCGTATCTTTTCAGACATACTTTGAATTTCGAAACTATCTAAGCGGCGTTTTCTTGATAACGTAAATACGCAACGTTGCCCCCATTTCGTATCTCTTACAGTTCCCGAGATCGCAATGGTGAGGGTCGAATTTGAAACACCAGGCATATTGGCCGTTTGCAAAACAAATATTTCTACCCCAGTGGCACCACAAAGTTATGAATATACGTTAAAATGAGTAATACGGGTCTCTAAAGAATTGGAGGGATACATAGTTGAAGAAACATTTTTGGATGCCATTTTACTTTCCACGCCAGTTCGCGAGGCAGTATTTTAATCCGAGAAGAATTTAAAAAATGTGATAAATCCAAAGTAATTAAAAAAAGTATGTATGGGGTTGTCCAAAACGGACGCAGGAAAGTAAACGCATATTAAAACAAGAAAGATTGATATTCAAATCAAGTTGGGTAGTTTATTTTGAAGGTTCATTTATACCATTTATGTATGAAAAATAATATCGCTCAAATGTTCACCACGACTGGATTTACAGACGTCCACGCGATGGTCGAAATTTTCAATGACATTTTGCAACCTGGTCGGTTCTATGGCATTTATCTCGGCAATGATGTTGTTTTTGAGTTCTTGGAGGGTGGCTGGTTTGTTGACGTAGACTTTGCTTTTCAAATATCCCCATAAAAAGAAGTCCAAGGGAGTCAAATCGCACGATCTTGGTGGCCATGGCACATTTCCTCACGCGATCACCGAAGAAGGACTGCAATCGATGGATATTGACGTTGGTTGTGTGGCATGTTGCACCGTCTTGTTGGAAATAAACATCGTCCATATCCATTCCTTCAAGTTGCGGCAAAAAATAGTCCTCTATCATCACGTGATATCGCTCAGAATTGACGGTAACGGCGTCCCCGGCCGCATTTTCGAAAAAGTAAGGTCCGATGATGCCTTTTGACCACAATGCACACCACACAGTCACTTTTTGAGGATGCATCGGCTGCTCTTGATACTCACGGGGATTTTCGTTCGCCCAGATGCGGCAGTTTTGCTTGTTTACCGTCCCATTTAAAGTGAAATGCGCTTCGTCGCTGAACATGATTTTTGGTGAAAAATTGGCATCAATTTGGCGGTGTTCAAGGAGCCACTCTGAAAACGTTCGGCTCGAAAAATGGTCGGCCCGACGCAGCTCTTTCGTCAGTTGGATCTTGTAGGCGTGTACATTCAAATCCTTGTGGAGAATGCGGAGCAAACTGGTTCTCGAAATGCCCAATTCTTGGGATCGACGCGTTGTTGATTGTTTCGGATCGTCTCTCACACTCTCCTTCACAACAGCAATATTTTCCGGTGTGCGAACGCTCCTTGGCCGGCCAGAGCCTGGCAGATTTGCCACAGAACCTGTTGCCTCGAATTTACGCACCAGACGACCGATGGTTGTTTCGTTTGGGCGGTTGTTGCGACCGAAATGTTCACGAAGCGCGCGAAACGTGTTTTTTATTTTTGCACCATTTTTGTAGTGCTCTTGAATAACTTTAATGCGGTCTTCAAATCGAATACGACTCCATAGCGATCAATGGTAAACATTCAACTAACAAAATGACATGTCGGTGACAGAAAACAAAGATGGCGTCTATGTCAAATTGACGTTTACTTTCCTGCGTCCCTATTGGACGACCCTTTATTACAACAATAAAGATATGAGTGTGTAATAGAATTCAAATTACTACAAGTGCAATGAACGTCATATTCATTGGCATAATGTGTCAAGATTTTAAAGCATTGTTTATCGCAACAGCTTTGGATGGTTTCGTCGAAGAACCCAGCGACTTGACAGTATGGGCCGGCGAAAGAGCCCACCTGTCATGCTTGGCCAATGGGGTTCCACCTCCTCGAATGCGCTGGTTGAAAGATGAGCGACCGTTACACATTGACAGACTGCGCATGACGGTGCTGCCATCTGGCGCGTTGGAGATCGACGAAGCGTTGCCGGCTGATCAAGGCACTTACAGGTTAGTCGAAAATGGGGTAATTGAAAACTAATAAAACTGGGACTTTGTTACAGGTTTTAAAGAAAAAAATTTGTAATTGGGATTACGACCTAACTAAGGAACTTTAAAATTTAAGTGCATGCTAGTTATTCTTATCTCCCACGAGACCATATCATTTAGTGAAATTTTAGGCTGGAAACCTCACCATATGAACTTCATCATTTGGGGATCAAATTAAATAGAACCATGAAACCAGCTAAAGCTTTTTGTGATGCCAGATTTACTAGGGTTGATTCCTATGTTCCTGATAAAAGATTTTTTTACCTTCGAATCTCTGCGTCCTCAACCTTAACAGCTAGTGAACTGAGCTTCTGTCTGTTGGAAAATATAACCACTTAAGCCTTCGCAGTAGCTATTTCAAGCCCTTTTTTCCATCCATATGGTAATTATCCTGATTCCGTATGCCAAATCATTTCTCGTGTACCTACCCATCTTAGAACACGTTACAAAGCAACGACCCTAGGACGGATCCCTGCGGCATGCACATGGTAACTTCCATCGTCTGTTGTCCTACCATACGTCCTCTCTTTTAAATAGCACTTCATCATGTTCAGTAAATAGCTAGATTTGGAATCTGCGCACCCGATTTATCGAGGAACCCGTTTTTGTCCAGATTTGTATATAGCTGTACAATATGGAATGATGACGTATATTCCCCGACGATACGATTAATCATTATTGCTCGATGGATTTAATATTACCTCAAATGATTTCCAAATGACACTATTACTCAACATTCCAATATTCTAGATGCAACGCATCAGGCCCTTCGACGTACCTTCTCAGTCGCGCGGCAATGCTGCGCGTGGATCCCCCAGATGAAGAGGGAGCTCTACGCCCTGCGCCTCCTCGGTTTCTTGCCCGTCCGAGGGCGGCTGTCTACATCGAAGGACAAAACGCATCTTTGGACTGCGCGGCTGTGGGGAACCCCCGACCCCTGGTCACGTGGCTTAAGGATGGATATCCCATCGATATGAAGTGAGTATAACGTGTTTTCGGCCTAACTAAAATACAGTTGAAAGAAACATGAGCTTTAATGACGTTTGGGATGCACCTATTTATAATTTACATGATACGGGCTGTTCAAACCACCGACGATAAATAGAGATAGACATATCTGTTTACAAAATTTTTATTTCAGACATTCGAATATTTTAGTTATGGTATTTTATGCTGTTGCACTCATTCGCAAGTGGAAAACCGAACAAACGTTTCTTGTCGTAGATCGTTGATATACAGGGTGTCCGCAAAGTTTTGGTTTTCCTTTTCAGAAACAACTACCCTTGAAATAACAAAGGTAATGTGTAGTGAAACGAGGGCGACAAAGTAAAAAAAATAATGGAAAAAGTATTCACTCTCCAGTTGACGAGAACGGCTAAGTACGTCTCTGCCCGAAATCATACCGCTCCAACAGAAAGTCTGGAGATCGCGGAGGCCACGCTACGGGTCCATTACGTCCGATCCAACTATTCGGAAATAATTCATTCAAAAATTCACGCACTTCGCGTCTAAAATGGGGCGGTGCACCATCGTGCAAAAACCACATTGATTGTCTTACACTTAATGGCACATCTTCTAACAAGGAAGGCAAAATGTTGCGTAAAAAGTCTAGGTATTGCATCCCGTCCAATCGATTTGGGAGAATAAATGGTCCAATGAGCACACCGTTCACCATGCCAGCCCAAACATTCACCGAAAATGTTTGTTGAAAATGTGCCCGACGGACAGCGTGCGGATTTTCTACTGACCAAACATGAGTGTTGCGAAAGTTATTCACCCCATTACGCGTGAACGTAGATTCGTCTGCCACCAATATGCACTTCAAAAAGTCCGGATTATTGTCATGTTGATGCAACAACCACTCACAAAACCGCACTCTTGCTGGAAAATCGTCAGGTTGAAGGGCTTGTACACATTGGACGTGACAGCCCCTCTTCACGCAGCGTTTGCCACACTTTATAGTTTTTGATACTTGCACTTCTCTAGCCACCTCTCTAGTGCTTGTTGAGGGATTCTCGTCTACGCGATTACCTCTACACGCGTGACCGTAACCGTCGGTTGAAGGTTGCATACTGACCTGACACACTGACCCCGACCCAGTTCTGTCGTCGGGTTGATCCAGTAACTTTGTACCACTCGGTGATGTCGCGGGTCGCGGCTACAGGACGGTATTCAGATATTTTTGATGTTGCAGAGCCCTTTATCTCGGTTCCCTTAAGACATTGGTGTATATGGTACTAAGAAAAATTGCTTATGTTTTCAAGATCTACACGTCGTGTAAAGGAAAACCCCCAACTTTGCGGACACCCTGTATATTATATTTTAAATGCTAACACCGACTGACACAATATATACGCGTCCAAAAGTGCGATGCTTCGGCGGTGACTATGAATCTGAAACAGTGTTCGAGCGAATATCGTAAATAATTGCAAGTATAATGCACCTATGCCCAAGACTTTACAAGAAGCTTGGTAGCGTTGTGTTGTTTCTTATTATTGCTGGCTTGACATTTGACTGATTTTACGAGAAAGCTTCATTCATAAATTTGTGTGTTCATTGTGTGTGCATTTGTGTTGATTGCCATGCAAATTGTGTTTTTGATTTTTTCAACTATTTATAACTATTATTTGCTTACCACGGCGCTCCAATGTTGTGTTTGCAAGGTATACAGTCAGCAAACTTGAGCAAAATGCTCATGTTTTTATCGGTAAGTGAATTTAAAGATTTAGGAGATTAGGTGGCGTGGGGCTGCCGTCCGAAGGGTTTACGATTTTACTCAAAAAGGTTCAAATGTCATTCTCTAAACCAGGGCAGCTATTTTGATCTCGCGGCCTCCAAGCTTAGCAAATGTAATGTAAACATGATTGAACGGCAGCGTCTATAGATATATTGTCGGTGGTTCAATCCATCAAGTATTCTGTTTGCCAAAGCCATATTGATGTTGGTTGAAGAGTGTCTCTTGGAGTTTTTCGCTAAGTTCATTAAAAGGTGCCAGTTCGATTACTGTATTTAATAATTGTAAACAGATTGATTAATTATAATGGCAGTGATGTAATTTTGTTCCCACTAGGCGGCGCTATAATTTATCCAACGAACGTACGGAGTAATAAAACAAGTGACAGGGCAGCCCGATTTACACCGCACAACTACCTGCAAAACCGATGCCAGTGGCGTTAGGTTTTAAAATTAATTGAGGTACCATTTAATCTATTTTCACTGTTTCTTCTATCTTTTCATTACTTTCAAGGTGCTATAAGGTTTATTACATTGATATATTAAATATGCTGATCCAGCTTATGATTTGTTAACTTTAAATATTTTTTATATTACAGAAATAATTTTAATACATGGGAAGAAATGAAGAAAAGGGTTCAAAAATTAAATTCTTTTTTAGATTGGATTCTGGATCTTTTTAATATAATACCTAATAATAAATCTACCTGCATTCATTACCACGTTTATTGCGACGGCTCTATCCGGATAGACTTTAAGGTGGATTATCCCAATCATGAGTAATCCTGACCTTTTATTTCCGCAATTCACAAGTCAAACCAAAACTGAATCTTGGACAGAGGGCTCCTTCGAAATTAGCGGTCAGGATTAACACAGGATTGGGATAACCTACTTTGAAATCTATCCGGATAAAGCCATCGAAATAAACATGGTAATTGTACCAGCATGTTCAGGGATATAGGTCCTTTGTCATTATCCAGTAAATATACAAATTACATTTATTAACTAATTGCTATCACTATCAGTGTACATAATCTGAAGATTCTGAATCGTTTCCAAAATGAATAATCACTGGTTCAACCACTCTTTCCATACATTGGTCAGTTGTCCACATTTTTTTCTTCCTCTATCTCAACGTGTTCGATTGCTTTTTTCCAATTTTCCGGAGTTACATTTTGTACCGCGGTGTAAAAAAGCTGCTTTGCATCTGCGATCTTGAAAGTTGTTTTTTTCGGGAAACTTCGTTTTTAATTTGCGATCAAATTAATTCGATTGGGTTAAACTCGCAATGGTAAGGAGGCAGGCGTAAAATAGTCCGATTGGTAGATTTAGCCATTTCGTCGATGACATACTTGTCAGCACTTTTATTGCCCTTGACCAGACTTAAAAGTTCTGCTTTGACCATATCGTTGCCAAAGGGAACATTATGCCTTCATAGCCATTCCTGTATTTCCCATTTTCTGTTTCCACTGTTTGGTGCTTTATCAATACGCCTACTGTGGTATGAAGCATTGTCCATAACAATGACAGCGTTCTCTTCTAGACGGCTTATAATATTTTCAAACCATACTTCAAATAAATTGGCATTCATATCGGCGTGGTAGTCTCCTGCTTGTTTTGGTTCAAATACCAATAGTCCGTCTTCCACGAAGCCATTATCAGACACGATGTGTAAGATAATTAGCCGTTTTCCTTTCCATGACGGATTATTTAATCCGGTGGAGAGACCTTCCAAGAAGGCTTGGCGAGGATGCTCAACTGATGGTTCCACCCATACTTTGCTAACAGTGTGCCCTGCATTGAGCCAAGTCTCGTCTAGGTAGAATATCTTCTTGTCTTCTTCTCTATACTTACAGATTTCGCGTAAGAATCTACGTCTCGAACATATTACCTTGTCCTTTTCTTCCAAGATGCTATTTCGCTTCCTTCCTACAAAACTAAAAATTACATTAAATCTTTGAATTCGTTAATTCAATGAACCATATTATACGAATAACGAATTTCAGGTGATTCATCTTAACAAAACTGCAAATTTAGTCTAGTCATGAAATATAGATAACGAATGATAAAAAACATAAAAAACTAAACTATTGTGGTGTGTGAAAATTTTACGGAATTTTTCAGCTTTGTATTTCACTTTCAAGGAGAAATAAAAAACAAAATAAGTTTTTTGTACAACTCTTACAGAAAATTAAGTTCCTTTTTTAATGTAGCCAACGTCGCTCTTTTGAAGTCTGGCAAGTCGTCGTCGCCGCCGTTTATTGATAACAAAATTTTGTCCAATGTGGGTGGTTCGTTTCGGAAGAAAAACTTGTGGATTTTTCTTCGGATTAATGCCTTAGTTTCTTGTGAAACGTTGTGCAAAACTACTCTGGCTCTATGGTAACCTTTGTGAGGAAAAATACTGTTGTTTCCTTTGTGCTCTGCCAAAATTTTATATACACTGCTAATTGATGCTCCTGAAAACAAACTAATACATTTTGCATATATTATACATACATGCATTAATAAATAATAAAAATAATTGAAAATAAGTTTTGAAAATCAAAATGTGAGCAATAGAAGTAGTTATCATATTAATGGGTAAGATATTTAACAGAAAACAACTATTATTTAGAATAGTACATCAAACTACAAAACATTTTAAACTATAGTTCAAAGCTAAATCCTCACATGATGCTCTTGAAACAAACCCCGTTCTCTCTGAGTTTCAGTTGGATAGCGCTCTCTAGAAGCTATATAAATATTTATAATAGTTTCTATTTCAGAAACCGACAAAGCTCTTTTTGCCCGTTTTCTTGGTAATTGGCCCTCGTCTAATAGGTCACTCATGTCAAAATATCCTGTTGAAAGTTGTCTCACAAAAATGGATGAAGCACACACAAATTCAACCTCACGCCACAGACCTTCGGAAATTTTTCTTCAGAAGTGCTATTGTGAACTTGGCGGCTTATCTACCGTAAACGGACCAACAAGAACGAGGCGCGTGCCGGGTAGATGATTTATTACTCCGTACGTTCGTTGGATAGATTATAATGTGGCTGCATGTCACAACAGTCTAAAGTAGATTTGATATATTAAAGGTCGATTTATAAACTGTGAGGTTGCCGCATCGTTACCCTAACGCTGCCGCTGGCAGTTGAAATCAATTTATAAGCGCTAACGTTACGGCGCGTGACGCATAACCTAACATGAAATTCTTCATTCTTTCTCGCATATTTGAAGACCAAACTTGTTTGCAGATCAGATGCAGTCTTCATTCATATTATTATTTAAATAAACTAAATGAAATATAGCAAACAATCTTAAAGGAAGTCACAGACCGAAAAACATGCGGCACAACTAGCTGATCTCTCGCAACAAACACGTGATTTGCAGGCTCCCTTTTCGATCTCATTGGCTGAATCGGAAACGGCAACGGCAGTAGGTTGAAACTTCGTCAAGTCTAGCTTCAGCCTTGCGGACGAACGTTGCGGAATTCCTGTTTATCAACAGTTTAACGTCAAGTGCAGGATTGAAGTTCTGCGTTACGGCAACGGTACGGCAGTGGTATTTGAAACTGAGAAAAAAATTCTCTTTCATTGCAAAATATCCTGTTTATAACCTTAGACACGATCGTCAACCTAACTAGCGCCATCCACTTCTACGTTTCCAGATTACTCCCCATTCGGAAACGTTGTCTGTGAACGAACATCTCCAATAGGTACTTTTTAAATCGAATACGTCTGGATTCAAGATGCTGATACTAATTTTTCGTATCAAGCGATAGCATAATGTTTTTCGCTAAGTATGGATACTTGGCGACACAAACGCTACTGATGAACTTTGAAAAACAATTTTGTACATGTTGAGTCCTTTATATGTTTGCATGTACCAGTCAATATTACGGCGTGTTTCTAACATGCAGAATGTGCCCCTCAACTTTTATTACATTTTGTAACACCCTAAATAGGTAGAAATTATTGGTTCACGATTATAGACTTATTAGCTTCGCTCGCGGTACAAATCTCGAATCAGTTCCGAATTAAGTAGGATCAATTACATGCACATGTGCAATTCTGGGGCGTGGTAACCGTAAGCTTTTAAATATAAAATTTTATAAAACACGAAATGGTAGAAGGAATCGTTACCAATCGTGGATGAAAATTGACATGACATTGTCCCCAGTACTACTAACCTTAGGTAGTTCAAAAATCGAAATAACATGATGTCTCTAACCTCCTTATAGTAGTCGCGGTGCCCCGTATTTGGGCTTCTGCCCACGCGGCTGCCCGATATAAAAAAGTACACAAAAAATCGGAGAGTTTTCAGTAGTGAAAAATATTGAGATACATAAAGTCTATTTCACGAGTATCCATTACATTTTGACATCTAGTGAGGTGGACAGCTGATCATTAAGTGACGTCTTTGTATAAGTCTGTAACGTTGCCAGTAATGAATCGGGTGTAAATCTGGTAATACTCAGGACTGTATTTAGAGCTGTCGTTCCCATATCTAGATACTTTTAGTGACTGGGAATTTTGACAAAAAAATGTGGAGGTACACATAGAAAAAATGTTTATCGAAAAATTATTATAGTACATCTGCGTTAACCCTTCCAGTTGCTGTAATTTTACCTGTAAAAATAATATAGACACCTATTACATAATTCCAATACACGTTAAGTAATCGCAGATCTTCTCATAAAAATTAATAATTTAAATTAATAACTTGTTTAAAACATCACTATGGAAAAAAGAACTTACACGTTACATGAACCTTCGTTATTCTTTTGGCCATCTGAAATTGAAAAATTGGATTTGATATTTTTTAATATCTTACGCTGTTTGTAAAAAACTTTTACATTTCTTATTTCCCTCCTACAAGCGCTATCAGCTTCCTCTTTCATTTCCTCTGAATTTTTGAAGTGTTCTCAACAGCTGACCCAAGCCTGTATTCACGAGCACTGCATTGTTCCAGTTGAATAGATTTCATGACTTCCTGCAATAGTTGTACATTTCACTTACATTTTTCTAACTTGTTAGAAATACCTGAGTAATGTTTAGACCCAAAACAACTTCCATGGAGTAATTTCATCGGTGAGGACTTTAATGCGAGATTTTCTACTTTCTTCCTACATACTTATTTGAAAATGTTCGAAATACACTGGAGCTGTAGCAATGAGATTACAAGAACTTTTGGAAATCATGAATTTTACTGATGTGCGAACTGAACCACGGCCGATCCAAGAACTGTGATAATCAGTTCTGGATTAGTTTAGAACCAGCAGAACTGTTAACGCGATCCATAAACAAATTATTCTCTGACAGTTCTGGCTTTACCGCAAACGCTGCTTCATAACTGTTCGGAACTGGTACCGTGATTGAAGCTTTCGAGACTGCTACCGCGAAAGAAAAATTGGAGCAAAACTACTGGTGGATCAATTGTTTCCGTTATGATTTCAGTGATTTGGACAGTCGTTTCTCGTTGGTTGGAACAACGAGTTCATTGAGGATAACAGTGATAAAGGAGCAAGACGGTGGTACTTATCAGTGTCGCGCAGAAAATAGGGAAGATAGCTTAGATGCTTCAGCTTTAATACAAGTTCAAGTGAGTATATGTGCATTTTTCCAACACTGCTTTTGTAAATGAATCAGTCAGCGCAAAACCCACTCAAGTCTATTTTTTACCAACGTGTTTTTTTTTACTGAAGACGCTTCATTAAAGGGCGATGCGTATTCGGGGTATACATCTCGTAAGTTACTACATTCATTCACTTTCAAATAACCCCACATAATATACGTTTAGTTCAAAAACATCGTAAAGTCAGGGACTACATAAAGCTCATAAAAGTACCGTAAAACTGGTTTATTTGTCAGTGATACATTTGTTATTGTCCCCTGAAAGATTCACTTTACTGGACGAGGATTTTGCACCGACCGATTCGAATAAAAATATGCTTTTATTACTTACAACGTCTAATTCAACACTGGCTTTCCGTTGAAATAAACTAACTGATTGTATGTTTGTAGGTGCCTCCAAGATTTTTGAAAAAACCCCAAGATAAAAATGAATTTCCCACTAAAGATGTAGAATTAGAATGTATTGTCTATGGTGTGCCAGAGCCTAAAATACAGTGGTACAAAGATGGAGAATTGGTTAAATATTCAGAGTATTATAAACTAGTTAACGGGTACGGATTTTCACGCATATTTTTCAAATATTAATACAAAAATATTGATTGAAACATTTTGAACATATATTTTTTAGATATAACCTGAAAATAATGGGGTTGATGTCTACCGATTCTGGAATATTCCAATGTTTTGCCACCAATGAAGCTGGTAATATACAGGCATCTGCAAGTTTAAAAGTCATCACAGGTAAGAAGCATTGAAAGGCTTGTAGCATTTCCTAGCTTCGATAGATTTTTAAATCAGTTCACATTATTGTTTGATATTATCGTAGTCTTGTAAATAGAGCAGATAATGTGTATATATGTATACATAAGACAGTTATTTTAGTACTTGTTGTTTTTTATCATTTTGCATCTTAGTAGTTGAATTCATTTTTCATTTTGAAGAAAGTTTTGTAAGTTCATAGTGTGTTACTTATTTTTGCACTGTTTTTTTTTCATCTATGGTTTGAATCATATTATATTTTGGTAGTGCGGAATTTTATTATTAGTTTTTAGTGTTGGCAGAAGAGGCCGGTTTTTTTATACAGAATGGATTTTAAATTAAGTTACACAATGAGACATGCTTCAAAGAGGGGGAATAATTGAGGTTTTGTCCTTTTCTCAAAACGCTTTTTAAAAATAAAGTTACAAATTAATCGCATTATTGTTCAGATTCAAAAAATGTATCATGACCATATAGATGACACTTGTGCCTCTGATAGGGGGTAATTTTGCCCTGTTTTCGATTGTTGTCCCGCCTAGATCGTGCTGATGATTGCCAACATTTATTGATTAAATTAACTAAGAAAGGTTAAAAGTTAGTCTGAGGCCTCTGTACTTAAACACGTCGTCCATTTTTTTATTCCCACTGAAGTTCTCATTACAACCTTTACAGGGTGGCTTTTTATTATGGGCTTGGCTGATAACCCCTTAATCATTCATAGTTTCTAAAAAAAGTTAACCACAGAAATTGTAGTCAACAATATGCTCATTACTTGGAAACATTTTTTATTTCTTCAGGGTGATTCATAACTATTTTTTTTTTTAATGGGATGATCTACATTTGATAGCAGTTTTGGATAGGACCTTTCAAACAAAGCAATTTGATATAATATACTATAGGATTTTATTTTCAAATTATTGAGATATTGGACAATCTATTAAAAAAGTCAACTTGCACCTCTGCAACTGTTACAGGTAGAGTACTGAATTTTTTGACAGAAAAATTTTATGACTCTGTATTTTCTTCCTATCTACTTATTGTTTCAGTATTTTTGATACGTTATACAGGGTGGTCAAGAACTCAAAATAAAATTTTCAAATCTAACACCCTGTATATTTTCACACTCATTGATTCCCTTTTTCAGAAGCTTTTTTATATTAGATATGGGGGTATGTACCACAGGTACAGCTAACCCACCACTTTATCAGATATCAAGGTAAATTACATTACCTTCTAAAATAAAAAATAGCGTTTAGTTGATATCGGCAGATCGTTAAAATGTTTGTATTTTCATTATGAATCAAATCTTCGAACCTCATACATTAAAGTCGAAAAGTCAGAAAGGTTTCCCCCTCTATTTTAAGTAACTTAAAAACCAGTCGTAAAACCCCTCATAAACACCATATGAGAAAAAAGCCTGTGAAGCAAAGAACCAAAAAGTATGAAAATATACCTTGTTCCATTTGAAATTTTTTAGTTATCATTTATTTTGCGTTCATCCATATAAACTATCAAAAAAAACTGAAAAACTAAGTAGAAGTGTAGGATCATGAAATGTTTCTGATGAAAAACTCAGTTCTCTAGCTATAACAGTTGCGACTTTTTAAAGTTGAGTGTTTTTTTCTATGGATTGTCCAATATCGCAGTAATTTGCAAATAAACCCAATAGTATTTTATCTCAAATTGCTGGGTTGTAAATGGCCTATCCGAACATTCGATACAATATCGAGCTTTCAATTAAAAAATATATTTGTGTGACTACATAGTTATGAATCACCCTGTAACAATGAAAATATTTTCCAAGACAGCAGCATCCAGTTTGTTACAATTTTTGTATACAGCTTTTTTCAGATGCCATGCATAGTAACTGAGTTATCGACCGAGTTCACACAAAAAACTCACCCTGTATTCACTTTCCATTCGCATAGCTCAACTGCCAACACGGTTTTATTAAGTTTACCATTATTCATTTATTTTGCTTCCCCCTACCCTACCTATTTTCCCGTCCCTTCTATCCTCTCAATTACTTTGGTTTTGCATGCCGATTGGTCCCAACCATCTGTCATCACCCACGGATGCATGCCCTATGGATCAGATATGCCTAAACGCCGCCCCCAACCGAAAGTGGGCGGAGCGAAGAAGGCTCGCGGAGGCGGAGCCGGTGGAGGTGGCGGGCTTTCGCGCACCGCCTTCACCGCGCTGCGCTCAAGCGACGCAGGGGCAGCGGAACAGGCCGCTTTCGCCAGGTCGGCGTTGAGCGCTGTTGTTGCATCGTCTGCGCCATCTACCGACAGTGCTGGTAAGTTGCTTGTAATAAGAAGGTACAATTCACACCCTCCAAATCTACGTGTCATTTTATGGCACTTTATTAAGTTGTGTGAACCGTGGTAATTTTACAGTACTGAGTACCGACAGTCATGACAAGTTGCTTATTTTTCCGATATTGACGTGAAACCAAGTCGAAAATTTCAAAACCTTGAATTGTTTATAGGAATAGTTGAGCAATATTTGTGTCCAAACCGAAAAAGAAAAGAATAGGTTCAAAGCCTTAATACTTCTTCACATATAGTGAAATTAGTGAGGTATAATAGGCTGACTTTTTCATTCAGATTTTTTTTAAATTTGCAGCGGAGCTTCTTTGACAAGTTATCGACGGTTGTTTTGTTGATGAGCGGGTGTTAGGGCCGTTCCTTCAGTTTGAAATATGTAACTGTAATGATTGTATAAGAATCCATGGTTGACCGTCGATGATTGATTTTAGCTGGTATTGGAGTTGGAGGCGTACGACCAAAAGGTGCGCCAGGTCCACCCCGCGATTTAAGGGCGCCAGTTGTGAAGGGGAGGTTTGTCACTCTGAGTTGGAAACCTCCTGAAGATGAAGCTGAAGGAATCCTTGGTTATTCGATATACTATAGACAAGAAGGAAGCGACAGGCAAGTAATAAAATAGAAAACCTGTATTTTTTATATTATTCAATTTCTTTCATAACGCATGCACAGTCGGTGCAGGTTTTACACACACGGAAAGTTGCCAGAGTTAGAGATTACCGTCTAAAAGTAAAAGTTTTATGAGATAACTACATTCTACAACCAGGTGGTGCTTAAAGTTCGTTAGTACTTTCCAAAATATTCATTTCAGAACAGATGGACAAATCAACCGAATCAAAAGACATTTAATTTATTTGCGATATATTCGACAAGGACAAGGACAAAATTATGGAAACACAAAAATGTGATGCTAATCTAATTTGCTGTTCCCGCTGATACTTCTCCCGCCATTATTCGTTCAAAATAATACTGAAAATAAGTTAATCGAGAATAAACGTAAAAAATTAATTGATTGAAATATAATTACAATTTTATATTGTCGCCCTCAAAATAACTTTCTCCTGAAAGCCACGCTCCTCATAGCAGTACTGGAACTCGGATACTGGAATAGCCTTTAGCTGATCGTTTGCAGCCGTTTGAATGTTTTCCGCTGTCCCTAAATGAGTTCCCTTGAGGTGATTTTTCCACTTCGAGAAGAGAACAAAGTCATATGGACTCAAATCTAGTGGAGCCACAGGAATGTTTTTACTGGTCAAAAACTCGTTTATTGACTGTGCTGTTTGACAAGGAGCATTATCGCAGTTGTTTTTGACCTAATGAACGGTGGTCTGAGTGAAATTTAATCCTTCCCCGATCATTCTGACTGTCAGCCGTCGATCTGCTCGCACAAGATCTCGGATTTTCTCGATATTTTCATCGGTTCTTGAAGATGAAGGCCTTCAGTTTCGTGGTTCATCGACTCTCTCTTTCTGAAAATGCCTTAAACCACCGAAAAACCTTGGCTCTTGACAAAACACTATCTCCGTAGGCCTGTAGGTCACGAGTTTTGGTTGCATTGTGTCCAAGTTTGAAGCAAAACCTGATAGCACACCGTTGCTTGATATTGATTTCACTTATTTTTACATTTTTGGAACACAATAGACAATTTCACAAAAAATCCGACCCCCGATTTCTCGAGCGAGTTCAAACTTGTACTGACGGCTGATCACATGTTCCCTTGTCTCCCCTCCAAGCCCGGCGCCTCCACTGTTGCCGGATCGAATGCTACGTTGCCAGTCTCGACACTTAATTTACAGACCTCATATGTTCTAAGATGCCCAATAATGCAGTTTGCTATTTAAATCTGATAAAGTAGAGGTTGTATCAGCAAAATCAATAATAGTATTCAATAATGATATTTTACAGCTATTATTGTACATTTTTATATCTTAAATAAAGATTCATTAACGCGAAGGTTATGGCTGACGTTGGCTATTCGTGCTTTCTCAAAACACATGCACCCTCAAAATTGTGTATTGTCCTCAAACCTAACCATGTGGTTTGTAGAAGCTGGAAGTTTATGGCAAACGGCAAGGGTATCTGTTATTGCATTTGCAATTACCGCATACGTAATCGTTAACGTTATCAGATAATCCATTAACTCCTTATGACTTAAATTTCAACGTTAACGTTTTTGTATGTGATATGAATGATTGCCAAAAGTCTCTGTTGTCTTTTCCAGGGAGCGGTACCAAAACACGACGAGATCCAAACACTCCGAGATAAACATCGCGGGTTTACAACCCGGCCGCGTTTACCACTTCCGCGTGGTAGCTATTGGTGCCAACGGCGTCGCCGGGTCCTCGTCGGACACGTTGACGGTGACCACGCAACCGGAAGAACACGTGGCTGGGGCACCGGCAGCGTTTGTCGCATACGCCACCAGCCCTAGGTCCATGAGGGCCGAATGGAGGACGCCAGAAGTTACCAATGGCCACATTATGCACTATACTGTTTATTATATGGAAGTGAGTGGTTTGTTCCTTACAGGGTGTTTTTAAACTATTGTTCAAAAACTCAAGAGGTGATTCTTTGGACTATTTTGTCTTCTGAAGGTTTTCGAAATATCGCATCGTTTCGGAGACACAGACCTCTTGTTACGGGTTTAATTTCAAATGATACTCTTGCCTCAGAATTCAAGATTTATTAGCTGAAAATTGTACACTGTGAGCGGTTACCAAGATTAGATTCACAATCTTAAGTCCTAGGTGCTATCGCGGTCCGTGGGATCAGCCCTAAACTTTGTCCAAACCTTGTAGGAATTGCCGTGACCCTGCAATAATCGTAAACACTAAACAAGGGTAGACATATTTCATCTGAGAATTGTTTACGTCTTCGTTTCTTTCTTAACCTCACTGTTACATTTTGACAAGTGTTCGGTCCTTTCAGTCCGGGAACAGTCCGCTGTTGTTCCATTGCTCCATTGCTCCTCTCGAACTTTGTGTTCCGTGTCCAAGTTGAAGAGACTTCACTTTTTGGTCGTAGCTCTGTTGAGAAGCACGCATTTTGCGGATCTTTACGCCAAATGAAATCTAAGCGTGCTTCCTTTTTATGTCTCATATAATCCTACAAGGAAGTGGGAGACGGGAGTCTTCGACGCTTTTACGGCGTTCTAGCCGACACTTTTAGGCCACACTCCAACAGAGGTAAGCAATTCGGCTTGCGTTAAAATGGCACCCGGCGCCACATTGGATTTTTGTTTCAGGCCTTTTTCATCTTCTTCCAACTTTTTCACCTTCTTCCAACTTTTCGTTTTCTTTACCTTACGTTTTCTCCACCAAACTACTGCTGATACCGTCAGATGAAGCCCTCACGACTTTTCCACGCCCTGCCCTGTAATGAGAGTTCCAAGCAGCCCCTGAGGAAGGGAGCTGATTCAGCTGTTGCCAATGTCCACAGATGCCATGTGCTGAAACCCCGTCGAACTGCATCTATATACTTAAGCAGCTAATTTCACTTAATATGAATTATTTATCCTAACTTCACAGCTGGTGTGATCCTGAGGTATGCATACCCCCGGAAACTTGGTAAGTCACTAATGTTCGTTTTCATTTGTTGTTAGGTGATCGATTAACCATTGCAAAGTGAAATTTTGAGCTTACTGTGATCATTTTGAATACTTGAAAATCCGGTCATAGCACCCTTCAAGTAGTTTGTTGCAAACCTTGTCATAGCACCCTTCAGGTAGTTTGTTGCAAACTTTGTAATAGCAGCCTTCAGGTGATTTATTAAAAATAGTTAAATAGATTTTGGGCAAGCTCTGGAAATTGGCAATCTTTTCATTTCCCCCAGCACCCTAATCCTCCAAACCAACAACCACTTCCAACCCCAGAAGTAACATTCATCGTGCAGGGAAGTGCATCTACAACCACCCCCCTGGCACGAGGGTAACACTCTAAAGAACACCACTAGAAATTCTCGTTTTACAGCATTTATAAAGGGATAACGTTTTCGCACAACTGTGGCTCTATTTCGTCAATAACGCGCCGTAACTCTTTGAGGCGTTCAACTGTTTGTGGCTTGTTTGCATACACCTTTCCCTCCATAGCTCCAAAGGCAGAAGTCCATTGTCGTTAGATCGCACTATCTTGGTGGCCAATTTTGATCGCCAAACCGAGAGATGACATGGTCTGGAAACTTGGACCGCAGTAATACCATTGTTTCGCGTGCTGTGTGGTCTTGTTGGACAATTATATCCTACACATCAATGCGATCCAACTGAGGACACAAAAACGCGATACCCCACATCATTAACAGTTACCAAAGTTCCAGTCCAAACACTCCACAATGTGCACCAAACGGTAACTCGCGGCGGATGCATTGATTGTTCCATTATTACACGAGGGTTTTTAGAACCCAAAACGCGGCAGTTCTGCTTATTGACGTACCCGTTCAGTTAAAAATGTGCCTCATCAGAGAAAATGATTTTCTTCGAGAAATCGGCATCAATTTGGTGGTGCTCCAGCGCCCAATCAACGGATTCACGGCGCTACGCATGGTCCGTTAGCTTGAGTTCATGCGTCAGTTGAACGTTTTACGCATGCAAGCACAGATCTTTTGTCAAAACTCGTTGCCGAGTGGGTCTGGTAATCCTTGGCCACGATGCCGAATAGAAGTGCCTGGATTCTCGGCCGCACTGAGACTAAATTTTCGAGGGACCGACCAGAACGGCGACGAACAGTGGTCTTCACATAAAGCAACGTGAATTTTTTACTCGAATTATGTAATTAAACGGCGAACTGTCGACTCGTTTGGTGCATTATTGCGAGCGAAAATTATACGTAATTTGCGAACTGTTTCTGCGTTATTTTCTTCATTTTTTCACTATTTGATTTCCAGTCATTTTTAATTTTGCCACGGTTTTTCCAAATATTCGACACAGTGGATCTTTTATAGCCATACGAGCACATATATTTGCTTGAGATGAACCCTGCTCAATCTCACTAATTATTGTGAACTTTTCATGTAAAGTGAATGCACGTTTCGCACTTTTCGACATGTTTATAACTCTAATAAATACAGTATAACACTGGTGGCCAAGATTGCATCAGCTAAATCTGCTTCGGGGGACTACCAAAATAGCTCGCATATAATGGATTGAAATAGTCCGCTATAAGCGAGGGTCTATTTTAAGCGAGTCTATAATATCCGAGGATTTTACATGCACTTATTTATAGGACCTTAAATTGTGTCCATTATATACGGGTTCCCATTATAAGCAAGATCATTATAAGTGGATTCCACTGTATTTGCTTGATTTCGATAAAATGATTCGTTTTTGAGAAGAAAAGTCTTCAGGTTGAATAGGTACTGTTTGCTTTCAGTCACTGACCATAACCAACCATATATACTTGTTTAACGCTGATTAGCAATCATCAGTGCAGTATGGGTAAAGTTTTTGAGACAGTCTTTCTATACTGTACTGTATTTTCTAAATGGCGGAACTATTATATCATTTTATCTAAATCACATATATTTCTGTCAGCTGAAGGATTAGGCTTTCTAAACCTAACATTTCGAGCCATTATTTCATGAGTTGTGCAAAATAGCAGCATTGTATTGGGGCTAGTCCTATTACGCGAAGCCCCACCTATTTACTAAGCTGTCAAAATTTGATTATTCATAAGTTTTCAATAAAAACTGATTTTCAATGCTGTCTTTCAAGGGCATGTATCCTTGGAGCGAAGCGGTACTTAAAAAAGATAAGACATTCCAACAAATCACCCTTTCAATTTTTATTCTCTGTTTTGAAACACCACATTTTTTTTTTCTTTTCATAATGTGGATTCGGGTCTTCTCACTTTTTCTCCACTCTAATTTTTCATTTTCTATATTTTCAGACTACCTCATCTGTAGAACATAACATAGATACCACGGAGCATTATGCAGATATAACTGGTTTGATGCCGTATACAGAATACAGCATATGGATGGTAGCTGTCAACGAAAATGGAGCGGGAGCTGCCACAGAGGAAAAACTGGTACGAACATACAGTACAACACCATCTGATCCGCCTGGTAACATCACTGCAGAACCTATGAGTACGGTAAGATGAAATTTGTTTAAATATTATCATTGATTAACATATTCTACCTGACGATAGCCAACCTAACGCTATATTCCCGCGTCCAAAGAATTGAAATTAAAATAAGCATTGTAATCGCGAAAAATTTCGAAAACGAAAAACGCTCAAAATTGTAACTGTTTCTTCTATCATTAAGAAGCTTCTAATCCGGGTAACAACCGGAAAATTAAATGATAAATGTCCGATGTATAATGTGCTCATAGGCGAAGTAACTTGCAACCGTTGGCGTTGCGTGCACGACGCGATGCTACATAGTCGTAGAGTCCACTGCCGTAGCAAACCCCTGACTACTGTACTGCGGCGATGTCGATACGGACACATCACTACAAGGGAGGATTTGTGTATTTTAGGAATGTTTGAATATTAGGAATACGTACCACTTTAGCGTAGTGCGAGGCTTTTGTAAATGATGACTTAATTCCTTTTATATCTACACATATCTTTTTCTGAATTTTATAATCCTTAAATGTACCCACCCAGTTCACCTAACATTTGTGTTATTCAGTATATGATGGTTCTCTGAATATTTCGTTAAGTAGATTGACTCATTACTTATTACACATTAATATACAACACACGCGAACTGACAAACCGATATAAATGAGAAACGCGGACTTGTGTGATGCCGATAGAACAGAAGACTTATAAACTGAAGTTTCGAATATTAACGTGAGTTCAATACTTACATCGCTTATGTAAGTCTACGGAAGAATTGTTTAATTTCGACCAAAAATCCGATTATTGGGGTGTTGGATGAAAATATTGGGTAAATGATAAGGATTATCTCACGGCCTTACTGGAAATCAGAACTGTAAACGCCTTTCTCGAGCGTGAAATAGTACTTTGCAAATCGTTCTTTCTATTTCTAGAGTGTTGGAGTCCGATGGGAACCCCCGCCTCCAGATTCCCAAAACGGCCCGATACTCGGCTACAAAATCAAAGTGCGCAAACCTGGTGGAGGTAGTTCCAAAGGTGGCAGTACCACCTATACGGCCAAGCCAAATGACAAGCACTTCGTCATTCCGGACTTGGAGCGCGGAGCGCAGTACCAGGTGAGGATATGGGCGATGAATGTGAATGGTACCGGCCCTGGCTCGGAGTGGATCGACGTGGAGACACTCAAGACTGACGTCATCGAAGATAGAGTGCCTGATAAACCTACCAACCTTAGAGGTAAGTTATAGACCAGAAGATTATTACGTAAATTGCGAATTGTAAAAACAATACCGCACAAAATATACGGGATATGGGGTGCAGTGGGATTTACTGATTTTGTAGCTCGTTGTATGTTTCCTGATTAAAGGTCCTCATGTACACAACGTTAATAGACAGTTTTTAAGCTATTGAAAGTCAAAGTTGAGGTTGACGGTTTTGAAGATATTGAAAAAATGCTTTTTATTTTTAAACTATCACTCCCTTAAATGCGGTCCTGTGTATGATGTTTCATTTTTGGTCCCAGCTTGTGACTCACCCTGTATAATATTGTATTTCTAAAACATATTTCTAGAACCATAAACAAAAACTTTTTTTATTCTAGTCCGTCCAACCTACGATAAGTTATATATAATGTGGTCACCTCCTGAGAACCAAAGTATCAAGATACGAAACTACATGCTAGGATGGGGCAAAGGCGTACCTGACATGTACACCACCCAGTTAGAGGAAAAAGAACGTACTTTTATTATTGAAAAATTAGGTGAGTTTTACGGAAAAAATTATATTGAGATTTATTTTGAAAAATTTTCAAACTGATACGTTTCACTTTTAATATTCCCCTGAAGGTAAAATGTTGGATCGACCTGAATACACTCGTGAAGTATCAGTAGAATCTTGAAGACACTTGCGGTAAACTAACGTAAAATCGATACCTTTGTTATTGCTATAAGAAGGTGCCAATTTCGCGTTTTCAAATCCGATTGTAAACAAGCTAGGTTAACCTAAACACAAAGCGGCTCCTGATTTGAATAGTAATGCCAACGTACCACAAAACATTGATTGACTTGCGACGTAGGGTTCAGGGTCGAGCTTGGCCCACACCATAGATCTTAATATCACTGTTACTTTAAGGCTTTTTTTATGTATGTCTTACTAGGAAAACTTGCTTATTGTTGCGTGACCTATACGCTCTGTGAAAGAAAATCACAACATTGAAGACACCCTTTATTTCGATTGTTAAGGAGAAGTGCGGCGTCTACATAATCATCTATTTTCAGATCCGAACTCAGAATATGTGATAAGCCTCCGTGCTAGTAATCAAATGGGGGCAGGGCCACCTATCTATACAACCATTCGTACTCAAGATGAACCGCCCCCTGAGCCTCAAGCCGCACTTTATCCTCCAATGGGGCTAAAGGCTCAGGTTGTCGGCACCACGTCAGTCGTTTTGTACTGGACTGATCCAACGTTGAAACAAAGTCAGGTAGGTTTCACTGTGGTTTGTAAAGGGCAAAAACATTATCCATCATGATGAAGTGCATGGCGCACAGTGATGGTGTAATATTTGAGTCTCGCACTTCAGGCAGCCAAGACTATTGGATATACGTTTATATATCAGTCGCATAGGAGAGGATGTCCTCACTAGAAAAAAAGTTCCATTCTCCACTTTTATTTCCGACATTTGAACTTATGTTTAAAGAAGATTTTGTTTCCATTTTCAGTTTGTGAGAGATAACAGATATTACGTTGTTAAATACGTGGATGAAAAAACGAAGAAAGCCAAATATCAAAATGCAACGGACCTGAATGCCCTAGTCGATGATTTGAAACCAAACACTTTGTACGAGTTTTCTGTCAAAACTATAAAAGGTAAGTACCAAGAATGAGGTGCACATTGTACATTTAGGATCTTCATGTTTTAGTTACATCCAAGTTTCATGCTTACAAAACTTTATGTACACAAACCACAAAATTTATCTGCCAGACGCCATAGTAAAAAGCTACAACTTTATATCTACTCTTTACCAGTGCACCATAATGTATGGATTTCCTAAATAATTTTAGTAATAATAACCGTTTTAGGGCGAAGAGAAAGTTCGTGGAGTATGGTAGTTCAGAACCGCACTTGGGAGTTAGCTCCAAACTTGCCACCACGTGATGTTTCTATACACTATAAGGACAAAGACTCTCAATTTGTTGAGTTGACGTGGCAACCACCTAAAGCTGGAAGAGTAACTGGATATGTGATTCTTTATACTAACAATAGGTACATATTTATTTTGCAATATATGTTTATACAAAAATATACTCGTATAGTGGAAACATTTTTACGAATATATATGCCTTTAAAACTTAAATGATACAGAAATGTTGTCGATGTTCGTCTGCTTCTGCTATCTGGGCTCAGCGCCAGCCATGAAGCTCTGCTTGATTGTTCTGCTTATACTGCGGCGGTGCTTCCGTGGGCGCGGCTGCGTCTGACGATAGGAGAAGGGACAAGTTGCCAGATGGACGGAAACTACTACCCCAGGCGATCCTAGGCTTTTCTGGTTTTACGCGGTGCTGTTAGTCTAATCATAGACGAAAATACCCCTGGTTTGCGAAATAATTGTAAAGTCTGGTTTTATTGCTGCAAGTTGTTCGAGGGGGTATTCAAAACATGGGCGCATAAAATGGGTATACCAAGTTTTGTGAGAACACTTTTTATTCGACAACAAAGAATGAGAAAAGGTGTTTTTTGGGATTCAATCGAAAGTGCTGGCAGGAACGAAAAAACTCTTCATATAAGATTTTTAGGTATTTACGATACCTATAAAATGAGATCACACGTGAAAAGATCCGACTAATAGCAAAAAAGTTATGGCCGAAAATCAAGGCAAACTGCAGGTTTTTTTTCACTTGTTGGTAATGCAACGATGGTTTCTCGCAGATATTTGAAATTCTTCAAATTCGTAGGATTCGCACCTCTAAATAATCACAACAAAATTAGAATAGATTGGTCAAGTAGTTTTTGAGAATATCTAATTGTTTATCCCAAAACACCCGGTTTTCGGGCCATCACTACTAGTTTATCGAGCAATATACAGGGTTAGTTCAAAGGACATTTTGTAGAAAAATACTCCAGTTTACCTTGGCGATATGAATTGCAAATCATTCCAGAAGATAAATGTTATTTTTATGCAAAAAAGATGGGTAACGTTTTTTCTTCTAAACAAATTCAAACATTTCGTATTTGTGAGTATTTCGCAACAAAAGATTTATGTTTTAAAATTTGTATAGTACCGTATGTTTTCGAATATTCTATTACTCACAAGTACAACATGTTTGAATTTGTTTAGAAGAAAAAACGTAACTTTCGTTTTTTGCATACAAATAACATTTATCTTTCGGAATGGTTTGTGCTTCATATCGGCAAGGTAAACACGTGTATTTTGCTATTAAATTCTCTTTGAACGAACCCTGTATACAGGGTGTCCGCAAAGTTGGGGTTTTCCTTTTCAGAAACAACTACCCTTGAAATAACAAAGGTAATGTGTAGTGAAACGAGGGCGACCATGTAAAAAAAAATAAAGGAAAAAGTACTCGCTCTCCAGTTGACGAGAAGGGCTAAGTACGTCTCTGCCCGAAATCATACCGCTCCAACAGAAAATGAAATCAGCTGATGCGCTACCGAGCAGACGTAAACAGTCTAGGTATTGCATCCCGTCCAATCGATTTGGAAGAATAAATGGTCCAATGAGCCTACCGTTCACCATGCCAGCCCAAACATTCACCGAAAATGTTTGTTGAAAATGTGCCCGACGGACAGCGTGCGGATTTTCTACTGACCAAACATGAGTGTTGCGAAAGTTATTCACCCCATTACGCGTGAACGTAGATTCGTCTGTCACCAATATGCACTTCAAAAAGTCCGGATTATTGTCATGTTGATGCAACAGCCACTCACAAAACCGCACTCTTACTGGAAAATCGTCAGGTTGAAGGGCTTGTACACGTTGGACGTGAAACGGATACAGCGCCTCTTCACGCAGCGTTTGCCACACTTTAGTTTTTGATACTTGCACTTCGCTACCCACGTCTCTAGTGCTTGTTGAGAGATTCTCGTCTACGCGATTACCTCTACACGCGTGACCGTAACCGTCGGTTGAAGGTTGCATACTGACCTGACACACTGACCCCGACCCAGTTCTGTCGTTGAGCCAGTGACATTGTACCACTCCGTGATGTCGCGGCTACAGGACGGTATTCAGATATTTTTTATGTTGCAGAGCCCTTTATCTCGGTTCCCTTAAGACATTGGTGTATATGATACTAAGAAAAATTGCTTATGTTTTCAAGATCTACACGTCGTGTAAAGGAAAACCCCAACTTTGCGGACACCCTGTATAATAAACTAGTAGTGATGGCCGGAAAACAGGTGTTTAGACATTCTGAAAAAACTACTTGACCAATATAATCAAATTTTGTTGTTATTTAAGTATGAATCCTACGGATTTGAAGAAATTCAAGTAGTTGCGTGAAATTATCGTCGCATCACCAACAAGTGTCAAAACCTGCATTTTGCCTCGTTTTTTGGCCATAACATTCTTGCTATTAGTCGGATCTTAAGCAACTTGCACCAATAAAACCAGACTTTACAATTATTTCAGTGAAATTTGCTGATATGATTAGACTATGTGTAATAATGCAGTAATGAAGAAAATAAAAACAAATGAACTGTCACCTTCTGAGACAGATAAACAAAATATATTGTCATTGCATTTGATCAAATCCACCGTTGTGTCTTAAACGTCATATGGTAAACAGTAATTAAACCATTTGTTTTTTGATTCAGCGGCCTGACAATCAAGTCCTTTCATTTTTGTATATTTTCAACTTCGAATGAGAATGAAATGAGAACTTAACTTTTTCAGATCGTTACCAGAGCCCGAATGGAATGTGTCTGCAGTAAAAGGAGATGTTCACTCAATGATCGTTTATGACTTAAAACCGTTCACGCAGTACTATTTCAAAGTTCAAGCAAGAAATAGCAGAGGTTTAGGCCCTTATTCTACCGTAGTTAGTTTCAGAACTGGACAATGTAAGTGCAGATGTTTAAATTTCCAGCAATGTTGTAATATTCTGCTTTGCTATATATATTTTTGTTTTTATTTTTACTGGTCGATATTTATAACTTTTTTTGGTTTTTTATTTAGCTGTTGCCACGCATGCTTCTGTCCAGGGCCAGCAGTTAGGTAATTATTTTCTGTTACTGTTTTGTAGTTATGTTTTTATCATTATGATTTAGCGCTTATTAGGGGATGAAGTCCGAGAATTCCGGGATTAGCTGTCCAAGGAATCGGAAGTCCCGGAATTTTCGGTACTTCATTAAAGGTAGATACGGATTTTGGGTATACACCTCGTAAGTCACTACACTCCTTTCCCTTCTAAAAACACCACCTATTACACGTTTAGAGCAAAAAATCCGGGACATACGTCGTTGATACACTTCAGTGGGTCATTTCAAAAACACTACTAATATTCCTGTATTGTTTTATTTCCAACCTTCATCTCACTAACTACGAAAATAAGATTACAGCCTTATCAGCTCTACTTGAAATCACGCTTAAGAGTTTTCTTGTTTCCTGCCGAGCCCATTGACTCAATCCCCTCATTTGTATGACTGAGCAGGTTCTTCAAATATTCGCTAAATATTTTAAATAGCTTTGCGTATAGTTAGTATAAAGATGGAGTTATACTCGCACCTATATTGCCCTGGTTGGTACCAAAAGCAGCTATTAGCTGATACACCCGCTAGGTAAAATAAAGGCATATAGTCAACGCCAAACAAAGTGGCGTGCACGTCATCAAGGTGGGTGTGTTGAAAAATTTACATTGTTGCCAAACTTTTTGTAAAATAATAAAATTTATTATTTACATATCTAGGTTTATAAGCAATATTAACCTCAAATGAGAACAAAAATAATAGTATAATAAAATTATAGATCTGTACTTGCATAATCATTAAGTATGACAATTATTGATCAGATGACACTATGAAACTACCATATTTAATTGATAGCTTAAAGGTACTGAATAAAAATCCAAATGGGGTCCTCCAAATTTTATGCATGGTATTTATTTTACAGAATTCATACAGAAAAATGCATTCTAAAATTAGGTAAGCTACTGGTGTAAGCTTTTTCTGTACAATAAAGTTAGTCGGAGTTTCTTTCTTCAGCGCTGTCTGAATCTGAATCTTCATCACTCTCAAAGTTGATTATTAAAGGTTCGATGTCTGGTCGATCAAAAATTCGTTCTCTTTCATACCATTTAAAAATTTCTTGCTCAGTATGTCGAACACTATTTTTCCACATGTCTGGGGTAACCGTTTGTAGAGCCTCGTTCCACATATCCAAACAGTCTTTTTCACTGTTACCATCTCTACCAATATGTCTGTTATAGTAACCTTTTGCTATGCCCCAAATTAACTCAATAGGGTTAAATATACAATGGTAAGGAGGCAGACGAAGAACTTTGTGCCCATGTTGTTCCGCCAATTCATCAATCACGTATATTTTAGGTGGTTTGTTTCTAAAAAAGCAGTTATTTTAAGAATAGGAATAAACAAAAGAAATATAAACTGTCGACCAAAATATATATAATTAAGAAGCATTATGTACCGAGCAACAATACTCAATAGCTCTGTTTTAAACATTGTGTTTAAAAATGGTATGTTTTGATTTGTCAACCAGTCTTGGATATTTTTTTTTGTCCATGCATTGTTGGGCACTTTGTTCAATATCATGCTGTGATAAGGGGCGTTATCCAGTATAATCATAGATGGACTCTCCAATTTTTCTAATAACTGATGTTGAAACCATTTCAAAAAATTGTCCTGGTTCATCTCTCCATGGTAATCGCTCAATTTTGTTTTCGAAGAAAATATCGCTTCACTACCCTCAATAAACCCATTTTCATTTCCAGCATGTAATATAATGTATCTAAAATATATTAGTTTTAAATTTTATAGTGCAAATTGTGTAAAAGTACATACCTTTTACCATCTGTTTTAATAGCTTTCACGCTTTTTTGGTTTCCATTTTGCCAAGAGCGACCTATGGTCCCATTTTGAAATATCCAAGTTTCATCGAGGAAGACAAACTGGTATAAGGCCTCAACCTTGGCTTGATTGTATTGCCTTAGAAATTCCACCCTTTTCAAAGCTATACTTGGTAGTTCCATGAGCCCTCGTCGCGGATTGTCCTTAAGCCACTTAAATCCAAGATCTCTAAGCAACCGCCTTAAAGACGTGGCACTACCATCAAATAATGCCCTATCTCTTAATCGAGACCATAAAGTTTGTATCGTAACTTGTTCTTCTGAAACCATGTGTAATATGACATTATAATTTAGTTAACAAATTAATGCAAATTTCTGATAAGTTATTATAATAAGATCTTACTTTTGTGATACATATTATAGATCACTTCTCGAATGGCACTTGTATCCAATGTCGCTGTGTTGGTTACACGTTTAATATAACTCCGCTTTTTCTTGGGCGATTCGAAATTTGCATCACTTTTCACACCCTCGGAAATATGACTAACTGTCCTTAAACTAATTTTTAAAGCAGCAGCAACACGCTACAAAAAATGAAATAAAATTTCACTATTATTAATATACATTACATATAATTATTAGTAACCTACCTCTTGAACAGCATTTAAAGGCAACAAAGGCCCGTTGTTGTCCCTTTCTTGCTCAAAGTAGTGCATTAACGAGGCCACGAGTTCCTTACACCGACTATTTAACTGTTTGGGCATCTTTACATACCAAAATTGCCTTTATCTACTCGTAAAATGAATAATTTTGTTTTGAAACAAACAGTTGTTGATTTACAGTATGCGGGGCCAAAGGATTTATAAAGATTTGAAATGCCACAAATTGATTCAGTGTCAAAATTAATACAAATGTCAGTTCCCAGTTTAAATAAGTTTCAAGGTGACAATGTGTCAACGCTGCGAAATCGGTTTAGTGCGTTTACATGTCGATAAGTGATTGGAGCGTTTGCAAAACATTTTATTTCGCATAATGCGTCTAAATTTATCAGAAAGCAACTTATGTGATATTTTAATAACAATGTTTATATGACTATTAACCATAATAAGAGAGTAATGACCATTTTACAATTTATATATCACATTAATATGAAACTGCAATAGAGCAATTGTTTGTGATAGAAACCTAGGCATTAGGTCGGGGAATTTTTATCGTGATGACGTGCACGCCACTTTGTTTGGCGTTGACTATATTATTATATTGCTATCTCATTTTTTTTGTGGGAAAATACATTTTGAAGCCTAGTAGTCAAATAAACACGTAGGTTCTTCTACAATTGTCAATTATTGAAGATAGTTGAACGAATGTCTATATACTTTTTTCACGATGGTCGATTCCTGGTTTGGATGTAAAGCGGGAATTACGACTTTCACAGGTGTTCGCTGTGGTTTCCCCTATGTACTTTAAAAATATTAAAACATGCGAAATTATAACGTGTGACATGCTAATAAATCAATATACAAGGTGTTCCTTAATGATATGCGAATATTTAAGGCGGTGAATCTACATGAAAAATTAATGTTAGTTTGCTTTATAAACTATGGTCCAAAAATGTTTCCTTACAAAAACTCGGGGTGTTGAAGTTTTAGGAAAAAATGGAAATTAATTAATATTTTCAGAACCGCTTCAGATATTTCACTGATATTTAGTACGTAGTGAAAGTTAATAAAGTTGCATATTTTTCAATGCAAAAATATTTTTTTGCTTCAACAGTGGCGTGCGTACGGGTATTGACTTCGATATTTTTTAAGAAAAAAATTGGTACGCCAATGATTTTTTGCCAATTAAAAATTATTTTTGAATTCCCCGTTCAATTTAAAACAAATGATCTCTCTTGAATTGTTTTCCTTCGATGCGCCATTTTTGAGTAAAAAAATAAAAACAGTTCTATTGTCCGAGAAAATTAATGTAATAATTGAAGAATGCAATTTAGCAATAAATATCTAGTTGCTCTGGAATATGTCACTAGCTTTTGACATCTGACACGTCTCTGTTATTCAAATCTGTTCGCTGTGACATTTTTTTCATTATTTAGTTTTTACAATCTTTTTAATAATAGTGAATTGTATATGGCCTTGCCGACCGTAGTGGTGAGCAAGCTAGACGGATTTATCACCAGAGATATCCCGATCGTGCTTGGCCAGATAGTCGAACCTTCTAATATTCATCGTCGTCTTGTTGAAACTGGTGCTGTCCGAAAAGGAACATCTAAAGATAGACCTCTAAGTGTGAGAACACCTGAAATTGAGGAAGCAGTGCTGCATGAAGTCGAAGAACATCCTGAAACGAGTACGAGGAAGATCGCTAGACACTTAAATATTTGCCATCAAATTGTTTGGAGAATTTTAGTGGATTTTTTATTATATCCTTACCATATTTAAAGAGTACATGCATTACTTCCGATTGATTTTCCAAGGCGTGTGACCTTTTGTCAGTGGTACCTTCAAAAAATTACCCAAAATTCGCAATTTGAATCAATGATTCTGTTCACGGACGAAGCTAATTTTTCTTGAAATGCCATTCAGAATTTCCACAATAATCATTTGTGGACAGAAGAAAATCCCTATGCCGTAACCGAAACCCTTTTCCAATACCGATTTTCGGTTAACGTATGGGCAGGAATTATTGGCAACCACTTTATTGGCCGATTCTTCTTGTCGGGACGACTTGACGGACAGTACCTCAATTTTCTTCAACAACAGTTGCCTTTGCTGCCTTCCACTACGTACTAAATATCAATGGAATATCTGAAGCGGTTCTAAAAATATTGAATAATTTCCAGTTTTTCCTAAAACTTCAACACCCAGAGTTTTTGTAAAGAAACATTTTTGGACCATAGTTTATAAAACAAACTAACATTAATTTTTCATGTAGATTCACACCCTTAAATATTTGCATATCATTAGGGAACACCCTGTATAAGTGTAATTTTCAATTAGCAATGAAAATTAAGTTATTTACCACTACCCCATTTCTTGCGAAAACAATGTAAGTCCATTACAATTTTTTCATAATTATTATTATTAGTACGCTGTGGTTATTCGAATGTTTTTACGACGCAAAAAAGTACTTTAAAACTGGTCTATTTGTGAGTGACACTGTTTTTACTGCATCTTGAAAAATTCACTGCACTGACCGATTCCCTTCCACAACATATATGACAGCAACCGCATCGTAACGTAGCATATCCAGATGCATTTATTTGAATTTGAGACCTAATAGAACCACAGATTAATAGCATAAATCCTACGTATTTCCAGACTCTTCTGGGATGTTTTCAAACTCGATGCTGCTATACACGACTATAGCCGGTTGCGCACTGGTACTGTTCACTGTGATTGGAGTTGGCGCGTTCATCTGTTGTCGGAAGCGCAACGTGGCAGGGGCGCTGTCATCGCCGGAACGTACCAAGAAAGGATATCAGAAGGGCGCACAGGCCGTCAAGCCGCCTGATTTGTGGATACATCATGACCAGATGGAGCTTAAGCAGATGGAAAAGAGGCATTCGTCGTGTGGGGCGTACGACGGAGCGAGCAGTAGTGGTAAGATGCTTTATCTTTGGGAGATCTTTACGTGAGAGGGAAAATCGCTTGCAGCTAGTTACTATTTTTACTATATACTTTTATATATATATATATACTTTTGATGATATGATCTTCGAATACGAATACAGGTTGTAAACGCTATTGAGGGGGTTAAAAGAAGCAAAAAGTTTCATATAACATGGGAGTCAAAACGGCATTTTTTTAGAGAAAAGCGACTTTAAAGTAAAATAAAATCTGCCAACGCCGCAATGCCAGACGCAAATTACGACGGAACGCAGTGTAAATAAAGATGGAGTTTGTTATTTTTGGCTCTTAGGTATTATTTCATTATTTGATAATGTACTCGTAAAATGAAAACAAAACGGACTTTCCACTAACTGTCTCAGCGCTTCACCTGGTGTATGAAAGTTTATTGAACGTATTAAAAAAATCCACTCATAAATAGGGAACACAATTTTGATACATACATTGTTTTTCTTTTTAAAACCCACATTGCACTTTTTTTATATTTAAAGAAGGTGTTCAAAATGTCGTCCTCCACTTTCCACACAAGCTTCATTACGACGAACCCAGTTTCTGCTTACTCTAGGTCCTCGAAGTTATCCATTTATTATTTCAGCCGCATAAAATTTTGTTTCGCGAAGTTGTGCTTCAGTTTTTATTGGACCAGCCCCATAAGCCATGCCTTTAAATTCTCCCCATTACCAGAAATTCATCGGATTGAGGTCAGGAGATCTTGCTGGCCATTTTCGAGGATCAGAAGCATTTCGACCGATCCAGCGATTTGGATAATGTGCATTCAAATACTGAATGACGCCTATAAAAATGTGTGGTGGTGCCCCGTCATGAAGAAACCACAAATTCTGTCTCCGTTGTAATGGCATGTTGTCTAAGGTCTGTTCCAAAAGTACTGGTAGGTTATTGGTTAGAAAGCTAAGGTATCCTTCTCCTGACAACTTTGGGGGCAACTCGAAAGGGCCAATTACCTGATCGTCAAGAATACCCGCCCGAATATTTATTTAAAAACGTTGTTGGAAATGACCTTCACGAATGGTACGAGGATTTTCTTAGGCCCACGTGTGAGTATCATGGAAATTTAATATCCCGTCTCGCGTAAAAGTACATTCGTCCGTCGCTAGAATGTTTTTAAAAAATCCTGATTTTCAATGTTTTTGTGCAAAAACCACTGACAGAATGTTAGTCTGTGAGGATAGTCTTCTGATAACCAGGCCTGCACTTGTTGTACATGGAAGGGATAAAGCAAATTTTCCCGTAGGATTCTATGGACTATGTATGTATGCGATAGTCCTACGCGGCGGCCTAATTCCCGAGTGCTGATATCTGCATTGATTTCAACGATATTTAAAATTTGTTCCTCCTGCTCAACAGTAAACCTGTCTTTCACGAGTGTGAATATTAGTGGGCTGAACACTTCCTGTATCTCGAAGTTTTTGGTACACTTGCACAAATGTCCTTCTGTCTGGGTGTACCGGTTGGCGAAATCTGTCGCGATAAATTTGAGCTGCAAGATTTGAATAAACTTGAAGCAAACTAACAACATTCGGGCGAACTCTTAATTCGAGAACATTGTAAATAAACACGACGACGTACGCGAACAAAAGCAAAACAACATACTAACCGTTTGCGATCGATTGCCGGTTCGAAAAAAGTGAGGAAAGGCCGACGCGCTGTTGTCATGTGTGTTTTAAATATTTAATTTAATGAAATTTACTTGCTGACTACAAAATTTAGCTTAACTTAGAAAAACTTAATGCCATTTATTTGTTAATTACCCAATCTAAAAACGTTTTAGATTAGATTATAAAAATTAGTAAGATTGTTGTAGATATAAAGCACTTAAAGTTGTAAACTATAAAGCCATTTAGACAAAAATCTATTGACTTTTGGACCATGGGTCATATCAACGTTTTGACTTTTTTTGACCTCCCCTATTACACATTTCAATAATGACTACCATAACGTTTACAGCCTGTACATTAGTAGCTAGACTGAGGGGTTTACTAATATTTTAGCTTTCCATTTGGTACATTTTGTAGAGGCAATTAATTAATTTACTTATACATAATTTTCCAACAGACTAATACAATTACATGGCAATATAATGGTAACTTAATAGTAATAATTCACATAAAACGAACATAAAAAAATTAGCTATTGTAATATCCCCTGAACTGAATGTCAGAACTGTCTGGTATGGAATTATAATGATTGCATTTAGAATATAGCGGTGAATAACATAATGCAAAAGCTTATGGAGTAATGTCAGGAAAACAATGGCACGTCTCAATTGAAGACTGACCCCCCTTTCTGGATATACAAGGACAACAGGTAAACAGGACTTTTGAAAGATACCCGATACAAGTAGCGCCAAGTATTATCGGAGACTAGCATTGGATAGGTACATCTTTCATTGATGCCCTGTCAAAATTTTATGACAATCAAACCACTTCACACGTGCTCAAAGTGACAGTACCTTTTTAGCATCGGTCGAAAAATGAGCATCGAATAAAGAGCCAATACAGCAGACGCTCGATAATGTAAACTAATTTAATCCAAGTGTGGTTCACATTATCGAAATGTTTACATTAGCGAACGTGATTTATATAATATTTGATTCATTAAAAGAAACGTTTATTTTTTTTATAAAAAAATAAACAAATATTCTAACAGCGATAAGTATTTTTTTTAATTAGAAGAAAAATAATTCACAATTTTTGTCTGCGTAAATTTGCGCTTAGCATTGTCTTCCAATGCCTGCGCCCGTAATTTACGAAGAACTAAAATATCCGTGTATGAAACTTCTTTTCTTTCAGCCCAATCTAAAGCTTGGTTAAAAACTTGTATAGCTTGCGCGTCAGTCACTACACTTCTGACTTCAACGGGATCGTTCTCATCATCCTCACTGTCCATATCCTCCTCCTTATCAGCATAATTCGTCTGCTTATCTTCGTTCCATAAATTAATATCAGCAGGAGTACAAACAACATCCAATGACACACTAATAACATTATCATTATTGGATCGTAAACGTTCTCTAATTACGCCTAAGGGGACATCGTCTTCTTCATCATCTTCATTATTGGTACAAAAGAGATTGTTCCAACATTTTTGAATAGTTTGCTGGTTAAGTTCATTCCATGCCATATGTAAATCTAAAACAACTTCTCGTAATGTTACTTTTTTTTAAGTCTCAGATAAGTTTTCAGGATTCTTTGATAAGACAGACGAAAGTAGAAACTTCCTATAGTATAGTTTGATGAGTCTTATTATATTCTCGTCCATCGGTTGAATTAACGGGGTTACGTTGGGCGGCATGTACATGACGAAAATTAACCCATCCCTGCTCCTCAGTTGTTGCTCGGGAGGATGACTTGGTGCATTATCCAATAGTAACAACGCTTTTATTGGAAGCTTCTGTTGTTTTAGGAAACCTTTTACCTACAAATTGAAAACACATCTTCAAATTATGAATAGAGCATTTGTGATAATTGATTGTCATAACTGAGGGACAAAGCACCTGTGGAACCATTTCAGGAATATACTGCTAGTCATCCAAGCGGTTTTTGAACAGCCACTTTCATCTGCGTTGTAAATTTGTTCCATTCTTCAATCTAGCTCGGTAATTGTTTTCATCAATTTTTCTTTGAATGGTTGCACTAATTGTGGTTGTACTGATAATTTTTCACCAGATATAGACAGCAGTCGAATTCCATATCTTGTTTTGAATCGTTGTAGCCAGCCATCACTAGCTACGAAATTTTCAGATTCTTTCAGTTTTTCATTTAACAGTCTCGCTCTCTGTTTAAGTACTTCGCCACTAACTGGGTCATGATTTTCCCGTTGTTTTAAAAACCACTTATACAGGGAATTTTCCATTTTAGGTGCATTCGCTTTTTTTAAAGATTTTCTTTTTCCCGGACCTCCAAATGTATTGCACGTTCTTTGTAAAATTTGAGTTTTCATACGCTTTATTTTACAGATTGTTGCTTTCGATACTCCATATTTTTTTGCTAACTGTGTCACTCCCGCACCTAGTGCAACTTCGTCTATGATTTTCACTTTCTCACTCAACTTTAAACAGTTTCTTTTATAGGATGTGGATGCCATAGTCGTAAAATATATTAACGCGTGCAATGTATTCACTTAAGTTCAAAAATGAAATACATACGTACGTATAAACGTATCCTAAACGATCATACGACTGACCGAGTTTGTCGTATTTTATCGCAGAGGTGAATCCCCTACACTCTACATCATAAATCGGGGACTCCCCGACGCCCGACATAAATCATCGAGGCTTCAGCATTTTACCGTCGCGCTGTTTCCGTGCGCCGAGAGTTGTTTACGTTATCGAGCGTACACATTGTTTACGTTATCGCGTGTTCCGTTTGATCCTATAGAACGAAGTTTGTGTTTACATTAGCGCAAGTTTTCATTATCCCGTGTTTACGTTATCGAGCGTCTGCCGTATTAAGTTATATGCTAAACTTGGTAAAACATTTACCGAAACGCCTCAGATGTTGATGCAAGTGTATGGTAATGATTGTTTATCTCGTAGCCGAGTCCACGTGTGGTTTACACGGTTCGTGAGTCGCTCGAAGACAACGAAGTTGACCAGCCAAAATTTATGATTACGCCAGAAACCGTCGAAAAAGTGCGTGAATTTATCAAAAATGCTCCAAAACCTTCACTGAGATGCATAGAAATGAAATTAATTTTGACCAAGTATTTGGGCATGAGAAAGGTGTGTTCACGGTTTGTTCCGCACAAGCTCACGGATGACCAAAAAGTGCTTCGAATTTAACATTCGAGGGACTTCATTAAAGAGGCCAAAAAGAGAAAAACTGTCTGTACAACATTGCGACTGGTGACGAAATGTTTCGATACGAACCCGAAATCAAGTGATGCGTGCAACCTGTAGAAAAATGTTACACCAAGATCTCTAGTCTCTGTTGTGTTGTTCTCTCCAAAACCGCATTATTTATGGAATAATCAAAGATTCGTATACGGTGCATGTATTGCACATAAAAAAAGAGAAGGGAAAAAGAAAAAAATCAAGTACGATTTTCGTAGTCTGGAATTAAATTTATAGATAAAGTTAGAATAATAAGCTGCTGCGCTGTATAGGTGTATATGTTACTCAATACATATTGCACTCTTTGCTGCCTGAAAAAAGGTATATTCTTAAATTCACCGGTTGAGCTACCGGTACAACCGGTTAGCCAAGTTTGCGTCCTTTAATTTCCGCTGGAACGACCGGTTGTTCATCAAACTTGTACTCTATATTGATGGTGGATATGCCACCGGTGCCAACAGCATCCACCGACGTTTGGGCTTGGTTGATCCACGATATTCTAACCTCTACATTTTATCAGTTTTTGACAACTACAGTTTTGTGTGAAAAAATGGAAGAAGAAAAGATTGAAGTTAGCAGCATAGGAGTCGCGTGAAATTTAATGTTTTTTTTTTTTCAACAAAAGTATATAGACAAATTAATATTGTGCTGTATTTCTTTTTTAACTTTGCTTTATTAATACACCAACCTGTATAGATAATTCGTTATAGCATAATACTCACTTATACATAAATAAATTCATTAGACTCCCTTCAATAAAAAATTAATTGAAAAATACTTGAACTATGAAGCACAAAAATATACAGACAAAGCAAAACAATTATAGAAAAAAGAAGCAAAGTTCATTGAATTATAGAAAACCAACCATGTTTGTGTTAATATTTTGTAGCATAACCATTATTATCAATCTCCGCCTGGCATCGTCTCGGCATAGATTGTAGTAGTTTCTTGATATAAGATTCATCAATCTGTCTCCACTTTTGCTCTAAAGCGGCAAAAAGTTCATCCTTGTTTGAATAATTTTTATCTCGTATTTGCTTATCTAAGTATTCCCAGAGATTTTCAAGGCGGTTTATATCGGGAGACTGTGAAGGCCATTTGAGAACTGGTATTTTTTCATCCAGAAATAATTTCTTTGCGAGATTTGAAGTGTGCTTCGGGTCATTATCTTGCTGTAGGATTGATCTTAAGGGCTTATTGTCTTCCATATAGGGTAACATGACATGCTTTAGTATATCTGTGTATACAAACTTATCCATAATGCCATCTATTCTAAGTAAAGGTCCCATCCCAAACCCCGAAAAGCACCCCCAAACCATAACAGACCCGCCTTCATGTTTGACAGTGGGCAAAGTGTACTTGGGGTTCAATCTTTGTCCACTAGGACGTCTAACGTAATGAACATCATCTGATCCAAACATATTGAACTTGGATTCGTCACTGAAACATACCCTCTTCCAGAGCAAATTGTAATCGGTCCTTACGGTTTTTCCTCGAGATTAGCGGCTTCTTACTCGGGCGACGTGCAAATAACTTCAAATCATTTAATCTTCTACTTACAGTTTTCGTAGAAACACTGGCAATTCCTTTTGTCTCGATTTCGGCTTTTATTTGTCTTGGAGTTTTAAACGGATCTTTGGACGAAATTACTTTTATTAATCTAACTGATCTAGCATTTAGTTTTCTAGGCCGACGACTTCTCTTAGAGGCTTCCAAGATACCTTTTTGTTTATATTTGTTCAATATTGCCCAAACTGCTTTACGCTTCAGCTTCAGATTTTTGGATGTCGACTTGACGTTGACCATCTTTGTATAACTCAATGATCTTAGTTTTCACATCGAAATAAATTTCTGGACCACGCGGCATGGTCTTAAAATTACTCAACTTATTCCACAATACTTGATAAACACAAACTAATCCTCTTCTGACACAAAATTATACTCAACTAATGTTGAAAAGAATTTGTCTACATATTTTTGCCCCTCATAAAAAAGTGCTTATAATCAGACTTGTATTGTGTTCATTGCAGATAATGTAAAAACAAGGAATTTAGTTTTTCTACTAATAACGCATTTTTTATGGAGCAATGAAGTATGAATTTGTTTTCTAAAGTTATTTAGGTAAATATTCATATTTGTCTATATACAGTAATGGACAAAAGTGGAGACAGATTGATGAATCTTATATCCAGAAACTTCTACAATCTATGCCGAGACGATGCCAGGCGGTGATTGATAATATTGGTTATGCTACAAAATATTAACACATGGTTGGTTTTCTATAATTCAATGAACTTTGCTTCTCTTTTCTATAATTGTTTTGCTTTGTCTATATATTTATGTCCTTCATAGTTCCAGTTTTTTTCAATTAATTTTTTATTGAAGGGAGTCTAATGATTTTGTTTATGTATAAGTGAGTATTATGCTATAACGAATTATGTATACAGGTTGGTGAATTAATAAAACAAGTTAAAAAAGAAATGCAGCACAATATTAATTTGTGTATATACTTTTGTCCATTACTGAACTTTTGTCCATTACTGTATATTGTTTTTCAAGTGTCACACGATTCATGTAGCAAAAGAACTGTATACAGGAATAGAAAACGAGTATTTGCAAATATCTCGTGAATTTGGGAAGTAAAACATCTTATACAAAACTATACTTTGACATTTTTTAAATTTAATTTTCATCCGATTTTTTTGAGCCCCTTCTAAAAGGGACCGATGATAAACCGTTTGGCAAAGACAAACATATACGAAAAATTAATAGGCATTTGTGATCTTTTACCCAAAATTTGATATTTTCAAAAACGGTTAGAGTTAGCTTTAGGATGTTATACATGGAATGTATTTAGAATCTTGCGAAGACTTCAAAAATTGAACAATATACAGGGTATCCTATTCACAATAAGCAACCACCATTTCAAAATTTCATAATTACCTAATGACAACTTTTCAAGTAATCGTTCGCTGCGGTGTATATAAAAAAAGAATAAAACAACGCTGCTTTTAGTTTGCTATATAATGTATTGTGTGTGGATGTTTTCAATCGACCTTAATGTTTAGGAGCCATGACTTTACCAAGAAGCGTTGGAGGAAACGACTATGATGCACATGACAACCACATGAATTCATTGGATAAAAGGAGCTACATCTCCAGCCATGGAGGTAAGAAATATACCTTTATCGACGCATTAATTTATCATCACACGCTGCGTAGACCGTTTAAAGTCGATTTTATGCCAATGCACACATGTTTTGTTGGTGTTTGTATATTTTGGTCCTTTTGTACAAAAATGGCAAATTGAAAGTTCGCGAGATAAAATTTCAGTATAACATCGGGATACTTGCGGAATATATCCATGCTGCAAAAGGTAGATCGCCTACTCTATAACTTTTGTGAAACTTTGTCAGGCGAACTTTTGATTTTCCATGTGTTTGTACTCATACACACATTGCTTTTGCTGCATATTGTAGGTGATAAAAGCAAACGGTCCACGAAACCGAAGCCGATCACCTTGCCAGTTGATTCAAAACCTCCCAGAGAACGTGAGTAAAATGTATTTGTATGCTTTTGCATGTGCAGTAAGCTAGTAGATATCAGCTAGTTGATTACACAGCTTATTTAGACTGGTATTATACTAAATGGAGATTATCCCTAGTTTAGATCCAGGCTAAACAGTGGCGACACCACTTATGTTTGCCAGATGGTTATGCTCACTATTTTGTGAGAAATAATCAAGAAATTATTAGCATATTTTACTCTATACGTTATGGTAGTAATTATTGAAATGGGTAATAGGGGCGGTCAAAACAAGACAAAAAGTTCATATGACCCATGGTCCAAAAGTCAATAGATTTTTGTCTAAATGGCTTTATAGTTTACAACTTTAAGTGCTTTATATCGACAACAATCTTACTAATTTTTATAATCTAATCTAAAACGTTTTTAAATTGGGTAATTAACAAATAAATGGCATTAAGTTTTTCTAAGTTAAGCCAAAATTTGTAGTCAGCAAGTAAGTTTCATTAAATTAAATATTTAAAACACACATGACAACAGCGCGTCGGCCTTTCATCGCTTTTTTCGAACCGGCAATCGATCGCAAACGGTAACAGTGGTTAGTATGATGTTTTGTTTTTGTTCGCGTACGTCGTCGTGTTTATTTACAATGTTCTCGAATTAAGAGTTCGCCGAAATGTTGTTAGTTTACGGTGAAGCTCGTCAGAATTCAAATCTTGCAGCTCAAATTTATCGCGACAGATTTCGCCAACGGGTACACCCAGACAGAAGGACATTTGTGCAAGTGTACGAAAGACTTCGACATACAGGAAGTGTTCAGCCTACTAATATTCGCACTCGTGAAAGACAGGTTACTGTAGATCAGGAGGAACAAATTTTAAATATCGTGGAAATCAATGCAGATATCAGCATTCGGGAATTAGGGCGCCGCGTAGGACTATCGCATACCATAGTCCATAGAATCCTACGGGAAAATTTGCTTTATCCCTACCATGTACAACGAGTGCTGGCCTTGTTACCAGAAGACTATCCTCGCAGACTAACATTATGTCAGTGGTTTTTGCACAAAAACATTGAACATCCGGATTTTTTAAAAACATTCTAGCGACGGACGAATGTACTTTTACGCGAGACGGGATATTAAATTTCCATGATACTCACACGTGGGCCTAAGAAAATCCTCATACCATTCGTGAAGGTCATTTCCAACAACGTTTTAAAATAAATATTTGGGCGGGTATTCTTGACGATCAGGTAATTGGCCCTTTTGAGTTACCCCCAAAGTTGTCAGGAGAAGGATACCTTAGCTTTCTAGCCAATAACCTACCAGAACTTTTGGAACAGACCTTAGACAACATGCCATTAGAACGGAGGCAGAATTTGTGGTTTCTTCGTGACGGGGCACCACCATACATTTTTAGAGGCGTCATTCAGTATTTGAATGAACATTATCCAAATCGCTGGATCGGTCGAAATGCTCCTAATCCTCGAAAATGGCTAGCAAGATCTCCTGACCTCAATCCGCAGGATTTTTGGTATTGGGGAGAACTCAAAGGGATGGTCTAATAACAACTGAAGCACAACTTCGTGAAAAAATGTTTAATGCGGCTAAAACAATAAATGGACAACTTCGAAGACCTAGAGTAATAAGAAACTGGGTTCGTCGTAATGAAGCTTGTGTGGAAAGTGGAGGACGACATTTTGAACACCTTCTTTGAATACAAAAAATTGTAGTGTGAGTTTTAAAAAGAAAAACAATGTATGTATCAAAATTGTGTTCCCTATTTATAAGTGGATTTTTTTAATACGTTCAATAAACTTTCACACACCAGGTGAAGCGCTGAGACAGTTAGTGGTAAGTCCGTTTTTTTAATTGTTTTTCATTTTACGAGTACATTATCAAATAATGAAATAATACCTAGGAGCCAAAAATAACAAACTCCATCTTTATTTACACTGCGTTCCGTCGTAATTTGCGTCTGGCATTGCGGCGTTGTCAGATTTTATTTTACATTAAAGTCACTTTTCTCTAAAAAAAAGCCGTTTTGGCCACCATGTTATATGAAACTTTTTACTTATTTTAACTCCCTCTATCACCCATTTAAATAATGACTATTATAACGTTTACACTCTGTATATAGGGTATTTGGAAGCGAAAACGGAATTTGCACCGTTGTCAGATGGTCGATATTTAGAATAGGGGAGAGACTAGCGTTAACGTTATCGAATGGGTGGGGACTATGGGGTATGGACTAATTGCATGGGCCTGTTTGGATAACATAATCTATTTATTATTATTTTTTTTTGTTATACATCTTTGTAGCTAGGTCAGAGGAATTAACTTGTGCGGAACATCATTTATGAACTCATGATAACTTCGCGTGGGAAGTGAAGAGTCAGCCTACTTGACTCCATTTTTTCCATTGAATTTAAATAATGGTGCTAATAAAGGTAGCAAATGTGAAATATGTGTGACATTTGCAGATCTGATTGATTTTTTTTTGCATATCCTTATATCTTATGTACCTGCCATTCAAGTGTTACAGAGAATCATTATTGACAACTGGCATTATAGTTTAACACATTTGATAATTTCATAACAAAAGTTCATATGTAGTTTATTACAAATGAAAAATTTTCGAAGTTTTATAAATTGACATTTATTTAGAGCCTAGTGTGATCCAAAACTGTGATTCTAGATCGACCATCCAGTAGAAGTAGACGTTTTGACAGTTAGTCGGTTCACATTTGATGGCGCATCGTTGTCAAAATATTTATTCATGTTCATGTGAATTTGCAGCTTTTGCTGTGCCTTTTGCTCTATCATCACTCTTTTCTACAGAAACTGTTGTGACATCATATACATATACTCGTATATTCCCCCTCAACGGCCATTTGCCAAAATGTGTCGCGCAACATACTGTGTTTATTGGCATCACATACATACACAGTTTGGATTTAAGGTTGTTTTATGTTTACTGGTTAAATTTCACACGTTGTAATATAAAATATATTCTACTAGGTTATGTTGCTTACTTTTTCCTCTTTTCAGCAGCTATCCATTTGTTTCTTTGCTCTAATTTCCATGTTGCGGTAGAAAACGTATAACATTTGCACTTTCGGTTTTTTTTTCATTGTTTTAAAGTTTACAACGTAGCATGTATTGTGACATATTTCGAAAATTCTCATGTTTCTATCTAACAAGTTTCGTGTGTTGACACATGTCAATTCCAAGTTATTTCACATCTCGGCCAATAATACTAAATAAAATTGAATATACGCAGTCAAATGCTCAGTCTCAGTACGTTAAAATGGCTTATTGTTAAAAAAAATCATTAAATACTTAGTCATGATTTTTATTTTTGAAAAAACTAACTTCTGTAAATGAAGACTAACATTTTTATGATACCAAGCATGATTTCCATTTAAACGCAAAAAAGTGTAGTATATGTACTACATCCGTTTTTCATCAAGAAATAATGGATTTCAATAAATTCGATTCGGACATAAAACGACAAAATAGCAAGCAATATTTTAATCAAAACTGAAAAACCCTATGTTAAAACTGTAAATATGACGATGCACCATATGGTTTGAATCAACGAGTTAGAGAGAATAGATGAAGAGCCAAGCCAAGTCATGTGTTTACATTGCATTGTTTGTGGCCAAAATTGCATAGTTATAGTGGCTAGTTTTAACTCATTTGACTATCATGCCTACCAAAGTGACAGCGTTGTAAATTGTGTAAGAAGTACCATGTCTTGAAATCGTCTAACACCACAATTATCTGCAAACACTCGGACTTTCAAAAAATAACACCAAAAATATGAATTTAATTACAGAACTGTCAAAAAATTAACTTATGTCAAGACCACTTGTAGTATGCACTTTCATCTTCGCTACAGACTATGAGAATTTGGAGACAAACAAATCCTCGAAGGCTCCTTCTACCTAGGCTGAATTCGTTGGTTTGAATTTATTATTATTGTTATGTATTTCTTCCAATTGTTTATATATCCCCCATGTTTGTCTGGCCAGTTAAACCACATGTTTGAATATTCTTCTTTATTGTAGACTTTTCGGTCCCAACGCAACGGTCACCTTTTTCAATACAATTAAGACTTTTAAATACATTCCAAAATATATTTCTTGGTGGATTTACGGTTTTTTTGCTGAAATGTGGTTATGTATACGAATTTAAAAGACCATAGTTCATTCGAAATTTCATATTCCGAGTCCCGAGTTTCACATCTCTGTCACATCGACCGCCGCGGATTTGACGGTCTCCTCCACCCACTTCGCACATAGAGAATGTATGTATAATTTGATTGTTGCAGCGATAGTGACGCCCATAAATCCATCAACAATAAGCCAGTCGAGTACGGATTCGACGCCTTCGAATAGACCATCGTACCCAAGGACGCAGTACTCCATGCCAAAAGCGCATGTCTCGCTCGACTCTAATGGCAGTGTACAGCACCAAGCTACCGAGAATTTATATTCTACACAACCTGTCCATGGCTCCTTCGAGGGTAGTAGTATAGCAAGGTAGGTCTGACCATTGATTAACGTATTCTACCTGAAGATAGCTAACTTAATGCATCCAAAAAATTATTTGAGATAAAATTCAATACCGCAGCGTTATTTATGCAAATTTGTCACAGCTGTTTCCTTATTTACTATACAGGGTGACAGGAAAATAGATGCGGAGCCGGTGGGGGGAGATAGTACAAGCCAATCTGAGTCGATGTTAGTATAGGAACTAGTGTCCAAAAATTAGCCGTTTTCGAATTATACTAATTTTTAAGATTCTATAAAATTAACGTCCTTACCTACCTTAACCAAGTCATAAAACTTGAAAATTGGGTGTTTCCTTTGATTTTTTTTTGTTTTACAATCAAAATATTCTAAAATACAAAAATTGATACTCAAATGTACATTATTGACGTTATCTCATGCAGTAAGCTTCAAAATAGTTCAATTTTTGTTAAAAAAAATGAGATAATCCAAGCCGTCGAGCCACAGCGCGAGTAGAGAGAGTAGGGTCTCTTTGGAAAATATTCAATATTTCTTCTTCTTCTTCTTCTTCTTCCACATCATGTCGAGGTCTACCTGCATCACCTGAAATAAAATGAAAAAACAAAGTTTTTTGGAAGAAATTGTTACCTAATAAACATAGCGGTAAGACTATGAGCTAGAGTTGGCAAAATATTATTTAGAAAAAACGATACACAACGTGTGGATGTTTCCACCTTCAGAGCCATGTAGATGCTCCTGTTAAAATTAAATGAATAAACTCTTAATTAAGAAATTCAATCAACTGTATCAAAACAACTATGTTACAGTATCATAAGTTCAGCCCACAGACCTCCAAGGCTCTACATAGGCCTTACTGAATGACTGATTATGATAAATTAATAATTATCAATGATGCAAACTTACCTTGATACCTTACGACGTTTGCCTAAATACGCGGGCGTCAGATAGGCGACGATTAGGAAACATTTCCCCATACTCACGACGAGCTTCTTCAGCATTGCCTCTGGCATCTCCATAGTAGAAAAGGATATCGGCATATTCTTCGAAACTGAACGGCCGCCTCCTTTGTTCATCGATAGGTAGATCAACGAACAATCAAGTCACACAGCAGCCAAGTCGTAAGGAATTACAGAAAACAGGGTACAGTCTAGGTCGTCAGGAAAAGAATCACACACGGAAGTCCAACAAGAGCCAAGTCGTTAGAAATATCAAAACAGTGAGCAAACAAACACATCCGAACGCAATAAATCGCAAGAGCAGATTGAAGCGTGGGAGGGAAGGGGGTGACTAGTCTTACTTATCACACTATTCCGGTGGCAAAGTCCGATGTTCGCGGCTCTACCTGTTTCTTCCACTCATATCTTTGTCATTTCTAAACCGGTTTGTGACTTTGATACCTCATTTGGAAGGTCATGAAACGTAAAATTGTTTTGCGCGAAAAATTTGTAGGTGATTGTTTCTAGTAAATTGCGTTTTTGAGATGAACGAAGATTTTTTTTTAACAAAAATTGAACTATTTTGAAGCTTACTGCATGAGATAACGTCAATAATGTACATTTGAGTATCAATTTTCGTATTTTAGAATATTTTTATTGTAAAACCAAAAAAAATCAAATGAAACACCCAATTTTCAAGTTTAACGTATAAAGGACGTTAATTTTATAGAATCTTAAAAATTATGTTAGTATAATTCGAAAACGGCTAAGTTTCGGACAGTAGTTCCTATAGTATTATATTATTCAATTCAATCTGTAACAGAGCTGATGTATGTCATGACAGTCTTAATAAAATATTAAACATTTAAATGGAGCAATTGAGATAAAATCGTTTTGTTGATGGTGTCAGTTATTGTTATTCTTCAATTGGAGCACTTTTATGTTTTTTTTTTCTTCTCTTTGTTTGTGGAAGTGTTTCATTATTCAAACACCTATGTATTATGTGTTCATTCAGATCACTAATGTTTTTCTATTTTCTGTTTTTTTATTATTATTTTCTGATTCATTGTCTATATATATATATATATGTGTATATATATGTATGTGTGTATATATATATGTATATATATGTGTGTATACATGTGTATATATGGTACCATTTTGTTTTGATTTCCTGTGATTGGGTGTATACCTGTTGGAAATAAATATATTATTATTATTATTATTATTATTATTATAGTAAAATCGACTCAGATTGGCTTGAACTATCTCCCTCCACCGGCTCCGCATCTATTTTCCCTATACTTTGGAGTGGTAGATTAGCATTCCATACATGGCGCTGACTTTATGGGCATATATACAGATATTGCAAAAGCTTTTACTTTTTGAATGCAATTCTCATAAGAAAGTACGTAACTTATAATGGATACAAGTTACAGCAGTATTTGGCCGCATCAGGGATGTCCCAAGGATCATAACTTGGGTCCTCTCATGTATCTACTGTTCATCAATGATCTCTGTGATAAACTTAAATGTGGTTCTTTGCTGTTCGCTGATGACTTGAAAGTATTTTGTCAAATTAACAACACTAATGATTTTTAAGATCTACAGTCTCAGCACGATAACCTTCAGCGATGGTGCAGTATGAATAGGCTTCAATTACATGCGTAAGCAGAATAAGACTGCATATAATTATATTTTAAGTGGTGTAATTCTTGAGCGATGTGATATCATTTACGACTTGAGAGTAACATTTGACATTAGGCTAGATCAGAAGTTTTTATCATCATATATCTCAAATAATTTCTAATGCAAGCAGGTATTTTGGTTTTATAGTTAAAAATTGTATACTTGTATTTGATATTGATGCCTCGAAAATTGTATACTTTGCCTATGTAAAATAAAACTGGAATATGCCCTTTCTACAAATGCTACATAAACAGGATTGATTATGTCCGGAACAGTTTTTTAAAGTATCTAGTCTTTAAAGCTGATGGATTTTATCCAAAGCGTGGATCTGACTACGGAGTTCTATTAAATGGATTTGGGCTAGTCTCACTGAAAAATCGAAAACAGAAGATAGTCTCTACTAGTTAAGTAACAAAAAAGAAAGATATGCTTGAAATTTATTATTATTTACAACTCGACAATCAGCGTCGTCAGTCGTATCTACGCAACCCTACAATAAGGTTGCCTACGCCAACGACGGACATGCGTTGTATGTCTCTTAAAACTTATTCGGCCTAATCTGATTGATCAGAATCAACCGAACTTCTTTCGCCTACTAGCTAAGTGGATTTTTTGTCGTTGCAGCCAACCTCCGCCAGTGGTGCATGTGCCTCCTGGCATGCAATACGCGCCCGCGATGGGCGTCATTGCGGAGAGTCAGGGCGGCAAAAGACTGCCCAACCAGGGGCATCCGCTGAAGAGCTTCACCGTGCCTGCGCCGCCACCCGTATCCGCACCAGGTACTCCACCACCCAAACATATAGGTGAATATATCTCATAAAGCATTCTATACGTTCACTAACACCCGTATGTTATGATCTAATTTTTCATCATATTAATTGTACAATAAATTGGATGAATGTGCACTATCATTATTGCGCACTTTTACAATCAATTTCTATCAGTACTTAACGGCGCATCCTAGTTGGTTCTGGCAACAAAAATAAATTACATTTACAAAACATAACGACATAATCATCATGGATATTTTTGTTGCATTTTTTTTCAGCTGAAAAAGTTTCAAGACATCGATTACGCGCAGGTAACAGTTGAATGAGAAGAATTAAGGTTTTGTAACCTCAACCTAATTTCTGTTGTTAACAGTACGTCATCGGTCAGCTACAGAACGCTGTTTATGCTTAAAGCAGTATTGCATTAACATGAAAATATTACTTGGATCTAAAATATAAAGGTCTTAATTAAAAATTTACTGCTCGTTCTACGTGATTAAACATTTTTCTTCAAATTTTGTGAACATTGATGACAGATCGTTCTTGGGGGCTTCATAGAAGATATTGTACAGTGAGGAAGTATAATTATTCGCACTGATTCACTTAGGTTTCACAGTATGGTTTTCACCTCTTTTTTTGTGGAAGTGATGCAATCTCATTTCTTAGCTCCTTCATATCCGCACTATAATTTTCTGCCATAAGAGGTTCAATAGTTACAAACACGTTTTTCTCATTGTTTCTTCGTTTGTTTTGCGACTCTTTTCACATCTCTTCTTCGTATTCTTTTATCCGTTCTTTTTATACTTTTGTGTTAGTTCGATTATTTCCTTATTTAATGCCTCTATCAAACTGCTTAAATTTAGTTTTCACAGTCTTTTTTTTCGGTAACCTCGTCCAGCATGTCCATAATCCTGCTTTGGAATATTTTTATGTATCCATCCTTCTCCATTACAATTATTCTCATTGTGTAGTTTTTCTGTTCATCGGCTAACTTATCATTTTCACATTTCTCAGAGCAATAGATCATATTTTTGTTTATTTCATTTAAGAACCCTTTTTCCACTCCAAACAGCTTCTGTGTTACATGGACGAACATTCAGCACATATTAGTCGCGGTAGCTCTTTGTTGCAGCATCGTTATTGGTTTTAACCATTCGATCAATTCATTCCTTTAATTTTGGACCTCAATTCCTTGATAAGTTATGGCAACAAAATATTCGAACCACAAGAACGATGTCATTTTTGCAGTTCTGTAGAATTCTCTTGTTGCTTCAACAGTCTGTTTTCTAAATTAAAAAAAACTGATGTCTTGGTGTTCAAGTTTTTTTTCACATGATGGTGTAATATTTCACTTATATAAAATTGTTACTTGTTTTCACCAAAAACATACTCAAAACAGCCGTATGTAAACGTTTCTGTGCAGATACATGATAAAAAAGCGGAATACGTGTTTTTCTATTTTCATTTTATTTGTGTATTGAAGATTTATTTAGCATTTAGCTACAATGTCAGTTTTGTATAATTATTCGTTGACACATTTTTTGAATTAGTTTTGTGTAATTTTGCATTCTTGTCTATTAAAATTACATCATTATTCATTTTGGGTATTAATAAAGTGATCATTATTCAATTAATTTCAAATACTCCCTTTTACAATTTTGCAGATGAAAATCGATACTGCCTCTAGTTTCTTAGTTCTGTGGCTTGGTCGAACAAGGGCCTATGTACAAATTCGCAGAAATTTAGCTAGAGGGCCTATCTTACTGATCGAATGACTCTCTTTCCAATGAAAATGGTCCCAAGAGAATAATTCTAGTAGATTTCGATAAAATCCATGTGACAAGGGCGCAAGTGTGTGGGCCTAACTACAAGATATAAAATGTAAAGTCCAATCTACCGTTTGCGCCTTTTTGAATGGTCCCATGTAACAAATATATTATTAATTTATAAGCATAAAACGGCCTAAGTGACTAATAGGCCCAGAAAATAGAGACCTATGAGACCTTGGGTCTTTAAAATATCCCCTTTCATTTAAATGCTTAGGGCCTAACTGCCACTTATTCAAAGTGCATTGAAATTTCTGGGCCTATGTCAATTTGGGACGTTTCATTATTCAAAAACACACATTTGAAAAGGGCCTCTGTGCAACAGAAAGACATAATAGCTTTCCGCTTTTGGTCGGATTTGCCACATAGGCCTTTTTGAGTTTAAACGTATTTATTGTGTGTATCTGATGTGTAACCTAGGCCTCGGCGCAATTGCCGGTAAAAACATAACCTCAAAATTTTATCTAACGAACAGGTGTGTGTGGCACGTTTTTTGTGACTGTTTTGTGATAAATTCTCAATTTTTGCTGCATTCTTTTTTGTTCAAGGTAAGTTTGAGTACTTGAAAGAATGTTTAAGATGTCGTAGAGTATATTATTATTGTAGAACATGCAAACATAAACCAAAAGTTAAAATGTCTTTGTACAATGAGAAACATCAGTCACGAAGCCAGAGGATGGTAGATATAGCTAAGAAAAATAAAACGGAAAATTCTAACATAAATGACGATGTAGCTACCACAACCGATGACAATAAGAAGATTATCATTTTGAAAAATGATGTTATTCAAGTAAGTTTTTTTCTTCGGAGCTGGTATACATAGCGTGTAAAATAGTACCTATTATTTTGGAGCTAAAATTGTAAAATATAGTGATTCTAGAAACCTCATTGTGGCTTGGTTAGCGAGCAAGTTGTTAACAATCAAGATCAAGACGAATACCAGTCTATTGATCAACAACCAATGGAACTTGTAAGAGACTTTGTTAGCGAGGAAGTTGTTAGTAATCAAGATCAAGACCAATACCAGTCTATTGATCAACAAACAATGAAAATTGTAAGTATCTTGATGAGGAAAGTGGAATTAGCTATGTTGTGTATATTAAGATCATCCATCATTAACCTTACAAAAGAGTAGCATTATAAGTTTGAAATTGAAAATACTATATATTCCAGGAACCACATTGTTCCTCTGTGAACCAGCAAGTTGTTACCGATCAAGATCAAGGAAAACTTCAATATATTGATCAACAAAATATGGAAATTGTAAGTTAATTGATTTGAAGGAAAATTTAAACTATAGATTTATATTTTGCAGGACGTAGGGGACAACAAAAGCGACATAACCGATCCTTTTGCTACTGATTCAGATAATTCTTACAGAACAGAAAGTGACAATGAAACCAGCGAGTCAGAGAGAGAAACACAAAAAAGGAAAAAAAAGTCAAGAAAAAGAGTCAGAAATGAGTTAGGGTGGCAAGTATCTAAAAGGAAGGTTGCAAGAGCAAATGGCCAAGAATATAAAACAAAAAAGAATAAAATTGTCCAGGCAAAAATCTTGAAAGAACCATGTAGATGCAAGAAAAAGTGCTATGAAAAATTTAGCCATGAGGAAAGGATAAGTATTTTTAAAGACTTTTATTCTTTGACATATAATGAACAAACTCAGATTTTGTCAAGTTCAGTTAGGGAATTTAAAAAGCGTCGATGCACTAAACTTGAAGAAGACAGCAGAAGATCATTTAGTCATACCTATCTACTGAACAAAGGAGGATTACCTATAGAAGTTTGTAAGGTGATGTTTATGAATACTCTGGATGTAAGTTTTAAAAGAGTAAGATATACGATTGAGAAGTGTAGGCTTTCTATAAGCGGAATATGTGGACCAGACCAAAGAGGGAAGCATGGCAACCACCATAAAATATCAGATGAAGATAAAAGTTTTGTAATCCAACATATCTCTAAATTTCCAGCTTACAAGAGTCATTATTCTCGATCGCATTCAGAGAAACGATACTTATCTCCCGATTTAAGCATTCAACAAATGTATAGGCTTTATATCGAATATTGTAAAGAAGCGGAAAAAACTCCGGTGTCTGACCACTATTACCGAAGTATTTTTGTGTCCAATTTCAACCTTTCGTTTCATCCACCTCATAACGATACCTGCAGCAAGTGCGATAAGTTAAACATCTTAATAAAATCTTCCGCTGATGAAGGACAAAAAATAGACTACGAACGAGAAAAAAAAGAACATTTAGATGCAGCAGAGAAGGCGTACAATGCAAAAAGGATTGACAAAGAAAAAAGTAAACAAGATGAAACTATAGTAACGGCAATGTTCGACTTACAAAAATGTTTACCGACTCCCCACCTAAAAAGTGGAATTGCCTTTTATAAAAGGCAGTTGTGGGTTTTCAACCTAACAATATACGAGGTTACAAAATCCAACGGAAATAGATCTTTTTGTTTCATGTGGGACGAAACCACTTCAAACCGTGGAGGACAGGAAATTGCATCCTGTCTCCTTAAGTACATAAGAAACTTGCCCCCAGAGGCAACCTGTCTAAATTTATATAGTGATTGCTGCTCAGGGCAAAATAAAAACATTCATGTTGTTACTCTACTGTCCAAGGTGTTTCAACTTTTGCCACCAAACCACATGCTAAAAGAAGTCCACCACAAATTCCTAATCTCCGGTCATACTCACTTGGAAGCAGACTCGATTCATGCTTCAATAGAAAAAGCTAAAAAGCACACAACAATGGATATAGAAATACCCAGAGACTGGTCCACTCTGGTTCGCAGCATTCAGCGAAAAGGAGGAATTAAAGTCATTGACATGTCTCAGGATGATTTTTACAATATAAGCGCTCTTCAGAAAGCGTATTTTGTGAATAGAAAGAAAAACGCGGACGGAGAGCAAATGTCTTTTTTGAAAGCAAACTATTTCCTCTACACGAAGGAAAACCCTGGAAAAATTTTCTACAAGGAAGGCTTATTGGCAAAAGAAGATTTCAAAGTCTGGGATATAACAAAGAAGAAAAAAGGACAGCCAGATGAGACACAACTCGTTTTGGAAAGGCTACATAATTCGTACCCGTTGCCTCTTCCAAAAAAAAATTGGACGACATTAATACGTTAATACAATATATACACCCAAATTGTCGGCTTTTTTATGCTAATCTCAAATCAGAAGAAACAGCTGCCGATGAAGATGTATGTCCGACAGCTATTTTACAATATGATGAATAAGCCTTTTTTCATTTTTTTGCCATTGTAAAAAAAAGTAAAGTTTTAGTTTATGTTAACATCTAGAAAACAGTTCTTGAGATTATTTCTATACTTTTATAAAATATATGACATTGCCAACTGTGTTTTATTGTTATTGACGCTAAAATAAATCATAATGAGGAAAACGTTTTATAGTCAAAAAAGGCCTAAGTTATACTCTTTCCTACAATGGGGCTTATATACCATTTTCTTGGGCCTACGTGCATATTAGATATAGGGTCTATGTGAGTTAGGCCGAAATTGTAGGGGCCTAACAAACAAAAATATGTGAATAAATGAATACTTCTACGAATTTTCAATATATTTTGGATCATAGCACATCCAGTTACATGCTACCCAAATTTCATTCAATTCGGATAAAGGATTTTTGCGTAAGAAACAATTTTGTTCCAATTCACAAATCCTAAATTATCTCCAAACTTGATTTTCGTAGATTGGCCCTTGTTTATCCAAGCCACAGAGTTATGATAATGACTATTTGTTTTTGTGAACTTTTTCAAATTTGGTGGTAATAAATGATTTTTTAATTTGAATATGAAAATGAGAATTAAATAACATATTTTTTTACATTCAACCACTGTAGTTCTTTTAATATGGACTTAATCTTAGCGTAATTGTTTCTATTTGAAATGATTCTTATAGTTTTATTTTGTAGAATTTGTAATTTTGAAAATATGTTTTGCTATAAACAAAATAGTTGAAAAATATAAAAAATGGGGAAGAATTATAGTGATATACACAATTTTTTGGAATATGTACTGGAGTTATAAGAAACTCTATAGAAGTATTTTTTCTTTTTTTATATTTTTGAAATAATGTGCTCATAACGCTCTTGAAACAGTATTTTACGATCCACGTAGGTATACATACCCAGATATTTGAATGATTCGACATCAATTTTTCAATCATTGATCATACACATTAAATACGGGACCTCAAGGACTCTTTGCCGAATCTTGGGACAATACCATGATCCAGTTCTCCACCTCTTCCAAGGTCTTGCATCTCTGATCTCACTGTACTATCCGCAGGCCGTATCATTAAAAAACTATTGTTTTTTCAGTGCGGCCATCCTTATCGCCCTACAAAAAGCTCCCGCTCATGTCGGCGACAGGCGCCAGCACAGGAACCCCCGGTTCGACGCCAACGTCAAGGATAAACCCCTCAAATCCCCCACCACATACCGCCGAGGAAACGCAGCGGTTAAGGCCTAGCCATTCTACAGAAGAACTGAACCAGGAGATGGCCAATCTGGAAGGGCTGATGCTCACTCTGAATGCCATCACTGCCAATGAGTTTGAATGTTGAGTGAGAAAAATAGAATGCGTATGTTAACTTTTGGGTTACGTGGATTGTAGGCAAATGGCCAGAGGGGTGTTCTCGTTGGGTCAATGTCGCATACCTGTCAACACCTGACTTAAAATCAAATAAATTAACAAAAGTGACAGCACAGTGACCAACGATGATAAGAATCACAAAAATAAAGTTCCAGTGTAGCATGCGAAATTCGAGAACACTCGTCCAGTCTATATCCAAGATCCATGGTTAGACTTCTAATTAGATTTCTGTTCGCAATGAAATTGTTTCACAAGTAGAACAAGACAAATGAATGATTGTATAGCATGGAACAGCATGTTCAGCCACTCAAAGGTAAGGCTGTTTGGTACCCAATATCTATTCTTATATTAAATATATTCCGTAATCGCATCATAACTCATTTTTTTTAAATATAATATGAAAGGGCTTAGTAGAAAAATACGGTGTATAGTTCTTTTCACCGTTTTTGGCTGATACGCCATTAATGCCATACAAAATAAATAAGCAAATCGACTAACTGAACCACGTGCGGAGCTGAAACTCCATAGGAAAATTGCACAGTAGGCAAACCAATCTTGAACGCAGCTGCTTTTGCACACATGAATCGGTTAAGAAAGGAGCATTGCTTTCATGCACTTTCTCAAAATGCTTCAACAATTGAAGGGCTTGGAGCAAAAAAAGGTGTAAGTGCATCTGCGTTACTTACTGAGAAAAATGCTTCTAAAGATTTTTGCTATTTTAAAATTCTGCAAATAACATAAATGTATCTAGACAAATGGAATAGAATCCTAAATATCATTGAAATGTTTGGTGAACCAGCAAAGTATAAAAAAAAATTTGTTTCATAGAAAAAAGTGATTTTGAAGCACTTGTACCGGCTTTGCACCAAGATACCAATTCAATCTTAATCGACTCACAATAAGACAAAAAAGTGATGCGAGTTTTATTTACTGATTTAAACAATACTTGTCAATCATAGTTTTTAATCATTCGTCGTAGTCGGATAACAGCTCCTCGTCATCTTCATCTTCCTCTTCAACGATGAATACGGGCTCTGCGCGAGAACTAGGACCAGATTTCATGGCTGGTACAGGCATATTTTTTTTTGTTGGTCCTTTTTTTTAAATCTTCATGTTTCATGTTTTTATAGAACTCATGATAAACTGGAGGTATATAATCCAAAAGGGTCTGCAGATGTTTCCATTTTTCTGTTTTTATCGGAACTGAGGTACCGTGAAGTGGTGTGAATGAGTTTTGTAGCGAGTAACGAGTCTGATGGTCGCCCAGAGGCACGCGACCCAGAAACACATTTTATGAATGGATATGAAGCATCTAAGACTGGTTTGAATTCAAACGAAAATGCCTCATTGCTTTTATCATATTTAAAATACGCAATTTCTTTGAATTTTATCGGCTTTCCGTCTACATCTTTCTTAGGATCTTTCACTATTTGATTCAGTTTTTCAAAAGAGAAAAACATTTATCTGGTCATGTTGTGAATCATAATTTTTTTGTTTGAAGCTGCAATTACTTCCCTCCAGTGGCTTGGAATAAAAACTTGAGGAATCTTTTTTTTATTCTTCTCTATAAGTGCGAAATCTCGGTCACATTCCATATAAGTGTGACCTGGTTCCAGGAATTTGTGGTGAATTTCTTTAATATGGGTGGCCTTTATTGCAAACATAAACAGTTTGCAAATATTCTTATTTTTATTTTGCCCGCCACATGAGTCACTGTAGGCTATTATTTTTGTGATATTTGATGGAAGTGACTTGAAAAAATGCAGCAAGCATGATCCTATTTCTTGGGAACCTCTACCAGAACAGTTTCATCCCATGTGTACATGCGAGCTTCTCCAGTACCCAGATTATGTATGCAGAAGTTGTAAGTCCAGAGCTGTCGAAGGTAGAAAACTTTTGAAGTAGTGAGCAAAGGCGTTGGTAATGTCTGTTGAAGAACAAAGCAAATTGCGATGGTATCGTCTAAGGCTTTACTATTTTCAGCGTCCATCTTTTTCATTTCACATGCTTTTTGAGCTTTCCTCTGATGCAACTCTAAGCTCACTTTGGAAATACTCACCTCGTTTTCATTATTTGAGTTTTTGATGATATTGTTCAGCTTGTCGCATTTTGAGCATGTATCACTATGGGGCTTATGAAATTGATGGTTAAATTCTGTGTTGAATGTGTGACGGTAGTAAGATAACTTGACGAGTGGCTTCTGATTGACATTGCAGTATTCTTTATACAAAAAAAACATCTTTGTTATATTAAGATCTGATGACAGGTAACGAGTGTTAACATTGTCTTTCCGGGAATAATGACTTTTATATTTAGGAAACATTTTTATGTGTTGATTAACCACATTTCGAATGTTTTCATTCATTTTGTTTGCACTTGAAGTTTTTCCTCTCTGATCTGTTCCACATATACCGAATCTGTCTACTTTCTCGCATACTGTAGTGAATCGTCTATTGCTTATATCAAGCGTTTTGAGGAAAAATGCTTTGCAAACTCGCATATTTGAGACCATAATTTTGGTAGAAAACCTACGGTTACATTCTGCTCTTTGGCTTCGTCTAACAACTTCGCATTTTTGTATGCAAGAAGCTAAAAATGCTGTTTGCAGGTCATATGTAGGTATGTTATAAAATTTATCAAAAAAGGTTTGCCTTTCTGCCTCGGACATTTTGCTACAGCTATACCTGCATGTATGGACGAAAGGTCTAAGGTTCCTCTCTGCACGAATTTTCCCTTTGTGCCCTTCATACATCTTTCCTGCTGTTCTGAGTCTCTTTTTTTCATTCCTTTTCCACAAAGCGATGTTTTTTCTACGCTTTTTTGTTTTTCTTGGTGTAACGTGCTCAGTCTCATCATTCTCACTTGAATCAGAGTGATCATCAGGAACATAATCATCGCCTTCATCAGTATCATAGGGATCTGGTTCAGAGTCGTTGTTTTCTAAAAAATTAAAATAATAATGCAAAAAACTTATTTATCCGTTTTTCCACTCTTACCTTTGTCCATGGTCGCAGCCATCTCAAAAAAGACTATAAACAACCCACAAACCAAAGCACACTACTTCAAAAACTTTGTCCTTTGAAGAAATACGCCAAAACACTCAAAACTGTTGCACACCAAAAAAACTACTACATGTTTACCAGTCACAAGAAATCATAATAACTCAGCGCAGAAACGATACAAGTGAACTTATACCTATTCTGCCCTCTAGACTAATGTCGAATTACTAAGTGAGTATATTTGATTACCCACAGATGGCCCTAGTAGTGGCAAACGGTAGTTATACCAGTTTTGCACTGATAAAATACACTCTCAAGTTTCACTTTACATACATAAACACAAAAATTAAAAATCTCACTTATACCCTTTTTGCTCTAACCCCTTCAATTATTTGTACAAAGGGTACTATAAAAGTTTTGCAATTCAGCTTTATTTATTGACTTCGTTCAAAGTAATTTCCACCACATTCAATATACTTCTCCATCAGCCAAAACCAGTCCTTAAACCAGCTCTGGCAAGTTTGTCCCGGGAGTGCGGCACATTCGTTGTCCCAACGCTAGAAAACCGTTTTCCTATTAGCTTCATTTTCACATGCGGAAACAGTGCAATGTCGCAGGAAGTAAGATCTGGACTGTAAGGAAGGTGCTCACTAAGTTTCAGTCCAGTAGTGGTCAAATACTCGGTGCAGACGCGGTGAGCTGGAGCGTTGTCATGGTAGATGATCAAGTATCCATTCTTGACTTGGCTGGTATTTTCAGGTGCTGCCGTTTTATATTGCGTAAAAGGTTATCTCACACCCATGTCAAGCGGGTTGTTACTCTGACAGTGTCAAGCATAGGTTAGGATTACTCATACGTTGCAGTGTAACCAAGTCTACCTATTGTTCGGCAGAACAACCGAATTTAGTTCTATTCTGCCGACCTACCGATTTTAATGCGAAATCTACGGAAAGAATTCTTATTTCTGAATATAATTCAACGAAGCAGAAGAATAAAGCACTTTGCCACCCCTCTACTCAATTTGGCGCAACCCTGCCCAAGTTTTGAATAGCAGCAGTTGTGCTACCCCCCACCCCTTCCGCTTTTCAATCTACCGAAAAAAACTCGCAAAAATCTACCGAAAACAGATCGGCTGGTACGTTGCCGAGAACATGTTCGAGGAAGAGAAGCTAAATAACGTATGTCGGAGCTTACACAAACGTTCGTGCCTAAGAGGCAGATTGCATACGTATGTGTGAGAAAGATGAATATATAAAACTGATAGCGGTTGTTTTAGTGTGACCTGCCAAAAATCGTGAAACATTATTTCAAAGAAATGGCTGTTTGCTGTGGAAGACATGTTGATGTATATTAAAAAATAAATGAGTTATTATTGGATTGCGGATGTTTTACACAGAAATAGATAGCAATGTTGTAGTAATGTTCAGGAACGACCAGACCATATGTGTAGTTTGGTGACACAAAATTGTAGTTTTACCATCTATGCAAGCCAGCTGGAGTTTGTCACTAATTACTCTGGTTCTTACAAAACAATACGAAAAATAATTGTTGGATATTATTATGATAATAATCGTCTTTATTGTACAAAGTATAAAGCAAAGGGCGAGGTTTATCATATACTATTCTTGGACGAACCGTTTCTCGTACTGAGGGCCGGTTTATCAAAGCACAGTTAAAAGTGCCTGTTAAGTAACCTCAAGTTAGGCTAAACTGGCAGTTATGTTATGAAGCGTGTTTATCAATCAATCAATAGCTGTCAGTTTTATAACTTTTGGTTTGCCTTCGTTTCTACAAGGTTGGTAGAACTGAACTGAGCGGAAATGAATTTTTATTCGTTGAATTTAAATTTCCCACAAAAAATGTCAGACAATGACAAATGACGCAAATGTCAAAAATTTAACCTATTCGATATATTTGTGTGAAAGTGTATCACTATCACGCAATGACGTCTTTGCTATCACGTATCTTGAAGTTTTCTTTATTCGTGTGGCATTGTTTTACGAAATTAGTACGGATTGTTTGGAAAAATGGAAAGCGAAGAAAACAGTGGAAAGGGAAAACAAAAAAGAGGAGCGAACTTCAGCCTCAGCGACCGCAAAAACTTGTTGAAACTGTCCAACAAATTTAAGGCAGTGATAGAAAATAAAAAAACGGATGGAGTTACTTGGAGACAGAAGGAAGAAGCGTGGATAAAAATTGAAAGAGAATTCAACTCATTTACAACTGGAGTGGTGAGTATATACATATACTTTTCAATTGCTATAGTATGTGATAAATTAATTGATTTCCAATATACAGTTTTGGCAACATTTCCCAACTCTGTTAAATAAGATATAAACTGTAGTGAAAAGAGTATGAATGCAATATTAGTTTTTGTTCCGTAATTGTTCATATATGAATAAATTTTTAGCCACGAACAGCAAAACAGCTAAAAACAAAGTATGAGGCCATTAAGAAGGAGCTGAAAAAAAAATATAGCAGCCATAAGTGCTATATGCTTGGAACAGGTGGTGGTGCTTCAAAAGAAGAACCCAAACCTGAGACTGAAGAAGAGAAGGAACTATTACAAACTATCATAGTTTCTGTTGAGGGTCTTCAGTCTCAATATGATTCAGATGCCATAGCAGGAAAGTTCTGTTTTTTTATTTTTACCTTTGGATCATGCTTAATTTGATTTTGATTACAGGTGTAAGAGGAGTTGAAATTGAGGAGATTGAAAACAGCAGTGTGATAGTAGAAACGCATGAAGATATTGAGTGGAACACACCCAGTACTTCCTACCTTCAAACACACATTCATCCAGCTTTGAAAGTATCAAGGCCGAATGTGCTACAGGTGGACGTAAGTGGAGAAGATATGGAAGTAACCGACCATAATACTGACAGTATCAGTGTAGCAGAGACTCCCAGCTCTAAAAGTATCTGTGAAATATTTCTTATAAATATAGGTATATAGATATCTCATATTTATGTTACTATACAAAAATTTTATTTTAGAGCCATGGTCATGTCGGCGAAGACCAGTAATTAAGAAAAAGAAAAGCATGTCTTCTGCTTCTTCGAAATTTGAAGAACTGGCTATGAAGAAGTTAGAGCTGGTGAATTTGCAAATGTCGATTGCAGAAGAAATAAAAAAGCAAAATGCTGCAGAGCATAAAATAAAAATGGAAAACCTGAAACTGAAGCAAGACATTTTGAAAATGGAACTGCAGATTAGAACAAATGATAAATTATAAAATATGTGTAATATATATAAATATAACACATAATTTTGAAATTAAAGATTGCTATTTTTTATTTGTATTTAATTCATAAATAGTACAAGTAAAGAATTAATTTAAAAGCCCTGGAAAATATTCACTTAATAACAGTTCCCTGGCATTCATGAAGTTATTTTCAGGAGGATCAACACTGATATCTTCTTCATAATTGATTATGTTTTCATCCAAGTTTGGAATATCAGGGGGCTGCTCTTCATTTTGGTCAATTGCTATATTATGCAGCACAGCTGTGGCAACGATCACTGTAAGGGTTGTCTGTAATTTTAGTCTCAACCCTGTTGAGAGAACTGGAAATCGTCGTTTCCACAAACCGTATTGCCTTTCCACAGGATTTCTGGTTCTTGTAACTGAAAAAATAAATGAAAAACAAACTCATTAACTTTAATTCTCCTTGTATAGAAAAAATAATGCAGTGTAGTATCTGTACAATGAAAAAATATGGTTCATGCTTTTAGTGAATTAAATTATTTTATGAGTAAAATAAAAAACAGCTCCATATAATGTAATGATTATAAGAGATAGAAACATACCAGCTTCATTATAAAGTTGTTGGACTTGTGTTCTTGCTTCCAAAAGTGGTGTTATTACATGCATTGAATTTGCATAACCACTGTCTGCTACTAAAAGGCTATTGCCAAATTCATTTCTTTCCAATCTACTTTTTATTGATGAATTATCAAAAATTATCTGGTCATGTTGACTTCCAGGCCAGCGTGCAGTAATGTCTAATATTTTTAGATTGGGGGCTGAAATGGTTTGTACATTGATGGAGAAATAGCCTTTTCGATTGCGAAATAGTTCTGCATTATTTCCTCCTGTAAGGGTAAAGTTTTATAAGTACAAGTTCTATAGATACAAATAGATACCATACCAGGTGACTGAATTTTTATGTGTGTGCAGTCAAGGGATCCAATCACTCTAGGCACATGTGCTTTCTCATAAAAGCTACTTTTGGCTTTCCTTATTTCCTCATCATTACTTGGCATTTTTATAAATCTACCTGAGAAGGTAGCTATTGCCTCAGACACCTTCTTCACTATTTTTGAGGCAGAGCTCTTACTAACTTTGATGAAATCACCAACAGTTAGTAGGAAGTTTCCCGTAGCATAGAAGCGTAGAGTCAGTAATAACTGATTGATGGGTGAAATAGAATGATTTCTGAAATAAATATACAATTAATAGTTACCACAGGGAGTCATTTGTCATAGAATTGTTCATGATAAGTTAAATAAAATTCAATGAAATCCACATATCTATTTCCATATTGTTTAAATATTACAGAAAAAATATTCGCAGAAAATAAAAAGTACCTATAGGTATTAACATCAGCAGCGTTCTAAAAACGTGAAATAACCTACCTGTCGGTAACAGATTCGAGTTCTTCCTCGATGAGAGATAAAATATATAAAACCGTAATTTTTTTCAAGCGGAACCTCACAAAAAAATCTATGTCGTCCAATGAATGGAAGAAGTCTTCTCTTTCTCGTACAATATAGGGCCTCCTTTCATATTCTAAAAACTCTACTATTTCCGCATCATCATCATCATCGAACATAGCATCAATATCACCCAACATATTTCAAAGTTTTCACTTGATTTTCAAACAATAATTCTTTACAAAAACCTTGTTTTTGCTTACGTTTTGACACAGACTTTTTGAGGTTAAAATGACAAGAATGACATATCAAAACAAGAAGAAGTCTGCAATCTGCGCATGCTTCAGATCCTAACTGCTAGTT